AGGGGCACAAGGATGGATGTGGAATCTGATGAGGAATCCGATATGGATACATGAGGGGAGGCAGAGCAGATGTAGATCTGGTAGATGGCTTCCCTCTAGGCTTCGTAGAGGGTCTTGAGTGAGAGGGGGTGTCGAAGGGCACTCAAGCCCTAGCCCAGGCTGCTACGTGAAACGAGCAGCAGAACCAAACATAATACCGTCTGGCCAGTTACCCCTGGCCAGAGCCCAGGGAGATACCCGCTGTCTTAGGTAGCTTCGTGAAACGGAGCCCTATTCCAGCGGAAGCCCAACGCCATAGCGTTAGACAGACTGGGTCTTTTCAGAGAGAAAAGACTCTGACTCCATCTGCTTGGTCATCGACCACTCTACAAGCAACCTGAGCACGCTATTTATCCGACATCCCTGGCGCCTCTCCCGTGTCGCACATCCCTGTCCCGACGAGCACTCACGTTTCCTCAACAAAAAAGGCACTGCCGGCAAAGATCTCAGTCCTCAGCTGGTGAATCACATCCTCCGCCTCTTGCCTCCCAACAGCCCTTGCAAGCCGCAGCCGCATCAGTCATGACGTACCCCTCGGTTGAGCAGCCCTCTCTCGCCCAGCCGCAGCCCGTCAACTGGCCATCCGCCGACATCGCCTCACCCACCACTGCACCGGCATACGATGCGCCCCAGACGATGCCCGTTGTTGTCGGCCAGCCACCGGCGACGGCAGGCACGTCCGAGAAGCCCGAGGACGGTGATCAGCCGCAGTATGTGCAGCCGCAGACGGTGCAGCCGCAGTTGGGTGGTGCTCATGTAATCAACGTGCCGGAGCCGGTGGTGGTGGATCCGCGACACGAGGATGATAAGTCATGCTGGCTCCCATGCTTACAGGTGAGATAGATGAATCGATGTGGGCAGGAGAGAGAAACAGCCAGCGCCACACATTCTTTCCCCTCTGTGTGTTGTGTTGTGTTGTCTGTTGATCATTCCAGGTGTCCTGTGTGTTGTCGGTGCTCCTCTGGCCCATCGGCTGCTTCGCCTTCTGCCTCAACCTGGACGCCCAGCCGGGGTCGAAGCGGCACAAGTGGGCCCGCATCTGCCTCACCACGGCCACCATCTGCATGATCATCGGGGTCACCTACTTTGCCATGGGCGGAATGCGTTTCTCCTATTCCTATTCTTCCTCTTATTAATCAGACAAGAGCTGTCAAGAGCACAGCTTTAGTCACTTACTTTCCTTGTGTATCGTGCCCACCTGCCGCGTTGGCTGTCCTCAGTCAGTGAGTGTCAAAGTGTATCTATCGTGGTCATCTGTCTGTCGCTCATCTGTCTGTCGTGTCAACTGTGTCGATCCCAGCCAGCTGGGTATCTCGAGTCTAGTCTCGTGTGTGTGAACGTGCGCGTGTCCATGTCTGTCCCCTCACCGGGAATCTTCCTGCCGGTTGGATTTGATGGAGAGGGTGCGTGGTGGCTGTCTTGCTCCTCTTGTGTGGCTGGCTGGCTGTCGTGCCGGGTGCTGCTGTTTATGTGGCGCACCTCGCTCGTTGGTGCGTGCCTCACTGCATCCACGGCTGAGCGGCCCGGTTTGCGGCGCAGCTCCAGAACTGCATGGAGTGGTGGTTGTCCGGGAGGGCTCCGTTTGTATGGTGATGGTGCCTGCCTTGTGTCTGTCGTCGTGTGCTGGCTGTCTTGCTCCCCTTCCTTGGCCCGCTCCCTTCCTGCGTTCGTGTTGTCTTCGTGTTGAATGCATGTGTGTGTGGCTTCCTGGCTGGCGGACAAGTGGGAGACAGATAGAGCCTCTGCTCTGCAGAGAGATGTATCTACATGTGCGTGTTGATGAGACTTGTTTGATTCAAGTGGGCATGGTTGGTCTCACGAGACTCGTGTCTATAACCCTGGGCATCACAGAAGGTGGGCGAACAGTTTCACGCAACCTAACACACTGAAATCCTGAACTCTGTGGTGCGCGCGAAGTCCAGAACGCCGCAGGAGGATGGCCAGAGGGACGTCCGTGAGCATTTCGGTGATTGTTGCGGCTCTGATCTATGCGTCATGCGCCTCGGACGCCTTCCAGCCTTCTGCGGCGCCACGGACACTCAGGAAGAGCGACAGGATGCGGCCCATCCCTCGAACTCAGCCAGCCACTAGCCCTTCACAGCTCGGCCTGCGCGTGCAGTCCCCCTCTGAGTCGTCGATCCAGTCCCCGCCCGTCCTCTCCAAGTGGAAGGCCACAATCGTGTCGCCCTCGGCCCTCATCGGGCCTCCTCTCCGTGTGCCGGTCGACCCAGAGGTGGTGGAGGAGGAGAGGGACGAGATCATGACGGGCGGTGCGGATGTGGATGCGCGTGTCGGGGGTGCGAGTGATGTGAGGAGGATCCCGCGCGTGAATGCGGCCAAGGTCTTCACCGCCGCGTACTGGAGGGAGTGCCGCAAGCGCATGTGGACGTCGATGGACTGGCTGCACCTGCATGCCGTGTCGGGGGTGCTGTTCATGGGTCTGGGCACGCTCTGGTTCGGGTGGGAGCTGGCGCGGCCGGTGTTGGGTGTGGAGGGCGCCTTCGAGATGCCCTCGCCTTTGCTGCCGTGGCGGGCTGACAGCGCTTCCATGACGCTCCTGATGGTGGCGATCTTGAACTGCTTTACCTGCATTCCCATGTCCAAAGTGAGAGAGATGTAAATGGACAGAATAGTGCAGCACAGCACAGCACAGCACAGGGAGGGAGGGAGGCCGTCATACACTCATATTCTGTCTGTGTGTGTGTGTGTGTGTGTGCGCGTATGTTTGTGGGTCAGTTCCGCAACGGCCACGACACAAAGGGAGACGGCTTCAAGGGTCTCGGCACGGGCATGACCTTGCTCGCCGCGTGGGAGGCCCTGTGGGTGTCGGGCTACTACCCCCCCGTCCTCGAGGCCGCCACGCCCGCCATCGCCACCGCCTTCCTGGCCACCATCGTCCACGGCATTTGGACATCCGAGAAGGCCCTCGAGGGCGCCGTTCACAGGCTGGACGCCAAATGGGCCAGGGGCAGCAGTAACCGCGAGACGTCCCTGTCCTACGACGAGATGCGCAACGACATCGTCCTGAACCACAGGGTGGCCAGCTACCCCAACCTCCTGCACCTGCCCATCCTCTGGAACATTGGCATTGGAGGGCGGGGGTGGCTCGACACGGTGCTGCAGAGCTTCCCCGGCGAGTCGGCGCTGCTGTACGACGCGGCCTTCGGGATGGCGCTGGCCAACTCGATAGTCTTTCTGGGCGCGACGCTGAAGGACCGGCGGCTGATGACGCTGCGGGAGTGGCTGGCGCTGCAGCTGGTGGTGCTGGCGCCGTTCGTGTCGACCGTAGTCGACTGCTGTGTGTACGGTGATAGCATATCGGTCAAGCCGTGGGAGGTGTATGCCGGCTTGGTGTAGCAGATGGACCGACGGACGGACGGACGGACGTGAGCAGGTTGGTCCATTTTTCATCGTGAGAATGTGGTGTATACAGAGAGAGCGGGAGGGGCGAGGCGAGGCGAGGCGAGAGGAAGAGAGAGACGTTGCTCGTGGGGGCTCCAGAGAGGGTTTTGGTTGTCGATAACACATCACATGATGCCATGTGCACTCTACCCACATGCGTATGTGTGTGTCTCGTTTTGCTACGAGTACGAGTGGGGGTGGGTTGTCTGCTAATGCAGTGGATACATACTTACGTCCGTCTACTGACGAGAGGAGAGAGGTGGCGGGACTGTGAGAGAGGGTGGACATCTATCTATCTGATTTTTCCCATCGCAATCGCATTAGCGATTGCGATGCGTCCGTTTCATTTGGCTGCCCTGCCAGATGGGTGGGTGGATTCTTCTGTTGCCGAGTGAGTAGCTTCCTCCCTCCTTAGCTGCAGATATCAGCGGAGAGCGAGATGCAATCGTATTTTTGTTTGTTCGTGAGCGGCTACCTGTTGATAGCGATGGATGGATGGCACTGATTCTTACTTGGATGATGAGAGTGTGTATACTGAGAGGGGGAGAGGGAGAGGGAGAGCTGGGGGGCGTGAGAGAGAGATCTGTGGCTGATACGATCGACGGCGTGAGACTTGCACACTTCTGCATGGCATGGAGGATATCAACAGCTATACAGACATACATATATGGGACAACCATCCATCGGTCGGTCAAGATCCCACCCGTCCGTCGCATCAATCGCGAGAACGCAACAATCCTTCCTGTCTACGCGTCTGCCCTTCTCTTCCTTCACACGGCACCACGACACGCTGTCACACACTCACATGCTTGGTGAGCATGCGACACCATGACATGGTGACCTCGAAGGAGACAAAAGGCACAGACTACACCACACCACATCTCGCGCGCACACACACACACGCATGTAGAACAACCTTCCTCACTTGCCCGGCAAGGGCGTGGACGCTCTTCTCCCGCTCACACGCGGCCTCGCAGACGCAGGCCGCGACGCAGACCGCCTCCCCCCGCCCCCACCCCCGCTCATCCTACTCGCCTCCAAAACCCCCTGTGGGCCACCACCACCACCACCAGCCTTCAATGTGGGACTTGGACGGAGAGAGCCGAGACGGTCTCTAACGAACGACGATGACCGCCATTTTGGCTGTCCGCTGCAGGGCCTCGCTGAGGGGGAGGGCGTCTTGGGGCGGGGGCGGGGCGGAGGGGTCGGTGTGATTGGGGGAGGGGTGTTGGGTTTGGCGGGGACTTTGCTCTGGAGGTAGGCGTGCAGGAGGTTCATCCTGGTGCGATCATCGTCCTTTATCAAATCTATCTGGAGCTCCCGCTGCCGCTTGGGGGAGAGGCCTGCCAGGGATGCGGACGACGAGCTGCCACCCCCTGACATGACGCTGCTGCTCGCGTCGAAGTCCCTCTCGCTCTCGAACTGATGCACACACACACACAGACACACACACACAGAGTGAAAGATGTAGACACGGGAAAGCGGCCATTGTATGTCCGTCCGTCACTGCGCACCGCACCTGTTTGGCCTTCTTCTTTTTCCGTTTCTTGGTGCGAAATCGGCCGCCGGTGGGGGTGCCGGCAGCCCCCCTGTCCCTCTCTCTACCGTCCCCGCCAGCACCACCCACAGCAGGCCGGCTCTCCGCCTCGATCTGCTGCCTCATTCTCTCCCAGTCGGGCATGTCACCCCTCTGCTGCAGAGGGAGGTGGGTGCCCATGTTGAAGCTGGTCATCCTGTCGAGATCGACTCGCCGTGACGACGCACTGGCCGATGCTGATGCGATGACGTATGGGGGAGGGCGCGTGAAGGAGGAGGGCGGCGGGAAGGGGCGGATGATGCTGATTGACGGAGGGGCCGGCGCGGTGGGGGATGTGGACGTGGATGTGGGTGTGGCTGTGGTGTCTGCCTGTGAGCCGTCTGTCTTGTCGTCCTCATCCTGATGATCGATCCAGTGACATCCGTACGCATCATGATGTGGTACTGCAAGACGGCTTGTCATGACAAGCATCCCCATCTGTGTGACCTACCTCATCTGAGTCGGCCGTCGACGTCGTGCCGATGTCGCTCGTCAGCTTCTCAGCACGAGCGATCTCAGCCATCGACTACACACGGCACGAGAGACAACACGCCAGAGAGGGAAGGAGAGACACAGACACGATGAAACACGGCAGGTACATGGAGCCGATCTCTCCCGTCAGTCATCCGGCCTACCACCTACCTACCGGGACAGCTTTCTGTCTGTCTGCGAACGGCATGCATATAACGTCCTGGTAGCGCAGGACCTTCTCGAGCAGCACACCGAGCACGCCACCATCGCCCGACACTGTGTGATTCTGACAGATAGAGTGCAACACACACCATGCAACAGCGACATGGGTGGCCAAGCCTCCCCCCTTTCCCCCCCTCCCTCCTCTCACCCGCGAGCAGCATCCATCTGAGTGCGGCGCGCGAGTCAGCGAGAACCTCACCGCCTACATGACACATGACACATGACACACAGAGGTACCAAACCACGATGGAGCAACTAACTGCCATCCATGCATACAGAGGTGTGCCGCGAGTCGAGTGCGACGTACGGGTGTGTGGCAGCAGGGGTATATGCCGTCGTTCTGGCCAAACATGAAGTGGGGGCTGGACGGGTGGTACGCGCAACACTTGTAACGCGACACAGCGAAGCCCTCGCCGCACACCTACAGCCCAGCCACCGATAGATAGTTACCATACCAGCACAGAAATGCATTTCATTTCTGGCTGCGTGTCTGATGCGTTTGGGTGCTCGTGGCCACCCCGCATTCAGACAGACGTACATCGCAAGTGAGACAGATGAGCTGCCCCCATATCATCCAGTAGACCTCGCGCCAAGACAGCTGCTCCCGCGAATGCAGACAGCCCACCCACCCTGACAAGACAGGACACAACACACGCATGGCATCGCATCAACACGTACATAATGAATGCACACACACATACACAGACAGACATGCAGTTGGCTTACTTTCAAGATCCCACTGGGTGTCTGGCCTGTGGCGTGTGACGAGGGCCCCACGGAAGTCGACACGAAACGGCGCTTGCGGACATACGAGCAGGTCGCTGTGTGTCATGGCGAAGAGCTGCATACACTGTGAGCACCGCCTCAGGGAAGGGGCACTCGCCACGGTGGCGACGCTCTCGAGGGACTCCACCCCCTCACCATCCTCAGTCGCCTCTCCCTCCTCTCCTGTGGTGCCCTCGCCGCGGTGTCCCTGCTCGATGACTGTTATCGACGGCCATGTGCCGTTGAGAAGGCTCTGCACCTTGCGAGCCCACAGGCGAGACGCCAGCTTGTCGCGCTTGTCCCTAGGGAAAGGACAGACGCCACAGCAGGCAGGCAGGAGTAGAGGGATGCAATCCACTCCACGGAGTGCATGTCCGTCTGGTCTGCGAGCAATGTGACATACATACCTGACACGCTCTAGCTCGTCATCAGTGAACTGAGGGGGCCAGGAGGCAGGGAGGGAGGGAAGGAGGGAGGGAAAAAGGAGATCGGTGCAGTGAGTGGATCAAATCAGATTGATCAGCTTGTGTGTGGTGTGTGTGGATGTGTGTGTACCATGGCGGCCAGGTCGTCGAGCAGACGGCTCGAGATACACCCCAGGTCTAATGGTAACTTCACCACCTGGCGCACACACACACACACACACACGCAATCCACCCTGTGCCGTGCCCATCCACCCATGCGTCCTGTAGCTGGCTACCTGATTGATGTGTGTCTTGATAAATCGGAGGCACTGCTGCACCACCGCCTCCATCGACAGGAACTCAGCACTCACCAGCAGCGACACCACACTCGTCACATCTGCACACGTGTGCAGACAGAAACACACACATGCACACAACACAACGACCCTCACATATCAGTCAGTCAGACACACGTACCTTACTCGCTCACCCAGTGGGTTGTCGGCTTCGTCGCCATCGGTGTCCATGTAATGGACAAGCCACGAGAAGATGGCCACATCGCAGCTGACAGATATGTCCACATCCGATGCCCTCGAGTCCACCTCGGTCCCACAGGCCAGGTACGGCTCGAAGTACTTCATATGCCGCAAAAGCCGCTCCCTCGAGCACCGATACTCCTTCTGCACGCCCCGCCGGTCGTCCGCCACGTGAATTGTCAACATATCCGTTTCTTCGCCGTTCTCCTGCTGCTGCTGCTGCTGCTGCTTCGGCGGAGATTTGTCACCGTCTTGGCCTTCGTGTTCTCTTGCAAGGCTCCTGACGGTCGTCGCATGGCTGCTGGTTGAGGACGAGAGGCCGGCAAAGGGGTGCTGCCGCCAGGAAGGGGGCAGAAGGGGCGCCACACCATCGGGCCGCTGATACGGCAGCGTGCCCCTCTCCCTCGCCGCCCTGCTCACCGCATGTGCCGCATGGTAAGACGGACTCGACTGCAGGGTAGGCCATGTGGGTGAAATCGGTGGACGATTCGGCCGCGCGGGACGCGAGAACGGTGAAGCCGCCCCCGCCTGGCTCTGCGCCGATGCCGATGCTGCTGCTGCTGGTGGTGGTCCTCTTGCAGCGGCATCAGGATGGGTAGAGCTCCGATGGTAGCCGCCCTCTGCATAGATGCCGCTGTTGAGCTCCTGTTGGCTCTGCTCACACAGCCGCTGCAGAAACCTGTCGGCTTGACTGAACCGACGCGACCTACTGCCACCACCACCACCACCACCGCTGCCAGTGTCCCGAGTGCCGGGTGGATGCAACGGGGCGGTGGAAGGACGGAGCCCCGCTGGTCTGCCCCGGATCAGCAGCTCCTCGTGGGCGTCATGTGGGATCTCGGCCAGTGCTTCGGCTTCATCCCAGGCCTGGGTGGAGGTTGGTCGGGGAGGGAAGGATGAGGGCACGGAGCACTTGCGTGACTGAGTGAGGTTGGGCGCGGCGACGGTCTTGCCCACACATGTAAGACGGTCTACCATGGCCAATGGGATGGATGGACAGATGAGATCGATGAGAGGCCGCTTGTACTGTTGTCACGGTGGCACCGATTCAGCGGTTTTTTCATCGGCGTGGTTCGCTGTTCGGGTTTTCGTCAGGGTTTGGGGGGGAGCGGTTTCACAGAATGTCCTAAGCGGCCTGATGGCCAAGTCCCATGTCTTTCACGCACAGTCAAACGACGACACGCAACAGAAATCACCCACGCACGCTCCACATGCACAGAGGAACCCAAGGAACACACTCACGAGGCCTCCAGACCGAAACCCACGGCCGTCCGCTGAATACGAGTCGTTTGCTGGACTAAGTCGTAGATCTGGCCGAGTCGCTCCTGAGATGCGCCACCCCGGGCCTCCCCCACGCCGCAGAGTCGTCCCCCCTCGGCGCCGGAAGCTCCATCCGCTAGATACGGGTCAGTTGCAGGATGGGAACCCCTCGACTCCGCTCGAAAGACGACTCCGTTCGGGGGCGCGTCGTCGGCGGATCCCTGCCGCGCCTCGACTCGAGGACGGGCAGGAAGAAGGGTTTGGGTATGCCGGGTTAGGGTTGCAAACCCTTGGCTTTATGCTCGTCGGATCCAACATCTCAAGGCACGATGGGCGCTAACGTGAGCAGGAGGAGCAACGACGAGGACTGGCCAGCAATTCGTGGCCAGTGCCCTGACTTCATCCATCGGGACGAGCGGGATGGGTTGCACACACTCAAGGACCTGGCTGCCTCCGATGCAGCGCCCGCTTCCTCTCCGGCGTCGATTTCGACGCCGACGCGCTCCGCAGTCGCCTCGGCCGCTGCCTGCACGAAAAGCACCTGGCTGACGGGACGCCGCTGGACGCCGTGCTGACGTTCGATGACGAGCACCTAGAGGATCAGCTACTGCTGCAGGTATGGCTGCCTTGCACACGTGGGATGGATGGATGTATGGATGGATGGATGAGTCTGCATTGCATGGAGTGTGTGTGTGTGTGCAGTCGTGTTGGCTGGTGGAGCATCAGAGCTGGGACGAGGCGGCCGATGCACTGCGACTGGCTCATCAGCGGGGCTTCTGTGAGCTGCCCGTCATCGTCACGCAGCAAGACCTGGAGAAACATCGTAGCAAACAGGTGCGCACGACAGGCGAGAAGTGAGGGATCGGGAAGAGGGGTGGATGCACTCGTCTGTTCTGCTCGTGTTGTGTGTTGTGGCAGGCCTATTTGCGTGAGCCTCGTGTTGTCGCCCAGTGGAAGATGGTCGGCCAAAACGTCGACCTCGGTAGTCAGGGGGGGAGGTTCGAGCTGTTCGACCACAGCAATGGCGACCTGCGAGTCTTCCATGACGCGCCCGAGTACCGCCTCGACTCCACCCCCCTTCCCCCCACCCACCCCCTCCACCCACACAGCGACCCGCAGGACCCTCCTGTGCGGCACCACATCTTCTACGATGACAGTATCACGTGGGTCGTCGAGGACGAATCGCTCGTGACCGAGTCGTCCTTCTCAGACCTCCTCATGGGAGGTATCTTATGCCCAAGAGAGACGATGGCTAAAGCGACCTATGTCGGCGAGTTCCTGTGAGTCAGTGACTAGATAGAGACACATAAGTCATGCATGTGTCACCCTGATTCCTTCCTTCTCAGGCGTTCCCGCGGTGGTTGGTTGGTGGGCATCATGACGCAGTCGCCCCGCCTGCCGGTGGAGGGGTGCACCACGGTCATCGGTTGGAGTCAGGGGGGTGAAGAAGGTGACTTAAGCGGGCGGAAGTTCCTGCTCACATCCTTCACCGATCCTTTCGTCGCCTGGATCGATGTGGTGGTGTCTGACGATAATGATGACTCAGGTACTTGCCAACACCGAAGATGATCAGAATGCAGACGCATGTGCTTTTCCTTTTCTGTGTGCTCGTGCACGTGCCAGTGTTTCTTGACGTGTACACGAGTGAGCCGCCAGCAGTGGGTGTGTCTGATGCCCCGTTTGTCGCCCGCTTCCGGCGGACGGCCGCGATGGCCCGTAGGTTCCTGAGTCCCATCGCAGACATCGTCTTCGACGGAGAGGATTCGGACAATGATGGTGACGAGAGAGGAGACGCATTGAGAACGGTGCCCGACTGACACATCTCGGTATGTCTGTTGTGGGTCTGTGTATATGGGTGTCACCAAGGTGCTGGCAATGCCGGCGAGGATGAGGACAACAGCAGCAATGACGATGACGATACAGGTATGCAGGCCACCTCAACCACTGGCCGTCGACTCTCCCCTCTTGTCGACCAGGTTTGGAGGACGGACACCACCACCACCAGCAGCACCAGCAACAGCCTGAGAGTCAGGGAGAGGCGACAGAGGACTAAGTAACAAATCGCATATCGGTGGGTCGTGTCGACCACGTGCAGCGGGGCCGCTGCGCATGTGTCGATTTGCGCGTGCCGGTGTACTTTCAGGTGGTGGATGGCTGCCGACCGACACATCTTAGACTCAAGTCATGCGGCCTGACTGACGGATCTTCATGTGTTGAGGCGAGGCGTGGACACGTGTACAGTACGTGAGTGTGTGCATGTTTGCTTAATTGAATTCACGGACACGCACGTACGCACCGTCAACCTGCCTGCCACTAACCTCGTCAGCGGGCACTTTTCGTCCCGCTCGATCGGCTGGCTGTCTTCTCTTCTACAAATGTCTGTCTGCACAAATAAGCAGGTATACATACAGACACTCACTGAGCCGACTCGACTAACCACCACGCACATATATTCGAACAAATGCGAACAAACACACAAATACATACACACATCCAGGGCCTGGCCTGCAATGCATTCCCTCCCGCTCTATCTATCTACCTGTCAGCCGCCCGTCTGTCTTGCACTGCACGGGGCCTTGCCTGTCTCAGTGCAGGAATCGTACACATCACTCACATACCCCGCACAGCAGTCCATCCCGCCCTCCCTCTCGCCGCACCCCTCCCCGCCACACACCCCACATGAAGCCGGGCAGCAGGCGAGGGCCCTCTGCTCGTCGTCGTGTTGGCTCATGACGCCTCCCACCCTCTTGCACTGCTCCTCTCCCGCGGCCTTGGCCTTGTCATCGACAAGCGACACCTGGGCTGTCTGTGCTGGCTTGACGTGTTTGCCGTAGGTCTTGTGTTCACCGACTGACATGACTGACAGCGGCACGGCAGAAAGAGAGAGACCATGCCATGCACAGCACTGCACATGTGATGAATGTGATCTGGGTGGGGTGCTCACATACATGTGCAGGGAGCGGTCTTCTTGTGGCTGCAGCTTTGGTAGACCTCCTCCACATAGCCCACACAGCAGTCCAGTCCGCCCTCTCTCTTGCCACACCCCGCCCCACCACACCGGCCGCACACCGCCGGGCAGCACGCCACACCCCTCTCCTGGTCAAGAATGCCACCCGCCTCAAGGCACTGCCTGTCTTTGACACTCGGCTTCGCAGCTGGTTTGTTCAACTCTTTCTCGTGCCGCTTCTCGGCAGAGCGGGGCTGCCTCTTCTTCTCCTCTCCAGGTGGAGTATATCTGTCTCTCTCCTTCGGAGGGCCGTCAGGCTTGGAAGGCCCCTGCTTCTTCTGCGGTCCTTTTGGAGGAGGGGGTTTCTTCTTGAGTTGTTGCTTCTTCTGCAGGGGCTTCTTCGCAGGCTTCTTGTCGGCGGGCTCCTTTTGTTCCTTGGCTGTCACCTGCTCCATCTTCTCTTCACTCTCTGGGTCCGGATGGACTGCTCCACACACAGTAGGAAAGAGAGAGCGAGAACATCGAGAACCGGAGTGCTGTGCTTCGTCCGTCGTCTCGCTCACGTACGCACCAGCAATACAGGGCGCCTCGCCCGCCAGCGAGCAGAATTTGGCCCCGGCGTCCTGCTCCAGGCAGCACTCACCCTCATCGGCAACGGGGCAGCTCTTGGGACAGCACACAATGTCTGATCTCGAGCCCAGCCGGCCGCCCACCAGGAGGCATATCTGCCGCGACGACAGGGCGAACGCAGGGGGCGCCGTGGCGAGAAGGAGAAGCAGCAACAGGCAGAAAGGCATTGTCCTCCTGCCAGACGTACTTTTATTTCTGACGGCCGGCGCAAAAAAAAGGCAATCTTCCCCCCCTCCCAGTTTGTTCAGATCTTCCAGTTAGGAGGATGGCGTCATTGACCTCTTCATCTACAGCTCCCGTGCTTGTGGAGGTTTTCTACGGTATGCATCTGACGGCACACACACTCTACTCACGGAGAGGCACCCTGCTCTCGTTCCCGCTTCCCGTTGTGACTGCCAGACATCGGCAGCATGTACTCGTACTTCGCCTGCTCCGTGCTGCACCGGTACACGAGCTCTCCGGCGCTCTGGCGAGGCAAGGTGCAAGTGAAGCTGCGGCCATGCCTCATCGGGGGCATATTCAAGGCCACGGGCAACCAGATGCCGGCCGCGCTGCCCGCTAGGAGAGTATACGTTATGAAGGTAGTAAGTACGCTGGCGTGGCGCTGGACTGGATGGTGGTCCATGAGTGTGTGTGTGTGTGTGTGGCCATGTGTGTGCTCTTCAGGACACCAAGCGCACAGCCGAGTACATGAGGGTGCCCGCAAAGGTGCCGCTCAACTTCCCAGCCAACACTCTCAAGGTACGACCACGACCAATCACAGCCCAGCCTGCCTCATCAAACACCAGGCCGCATTCCATCCATCTTGGCTGCGACAATGAATGGATGTGTGGATGGTATAGGTGATGCGTCTGCTGACGTCCATCTCGATGAGCTGCACCCCCACCCAGCTCGAGGACGCCACCGACGCCCTCTTCCGCACCTACTGGGTCGACAACGACGACATCAGCGAGGTCCACACCCTCCAGAGGGCCCTCATCCACAAGGCGCACTTCTCGCCCGCAGAGGCAGAGGCGCACTGCAACGCCATCGACGACCCGGACGTCAAAAAGGCCCTCAGGAAGGCCACGGACGAGGCGGTGCGGCGCGGCGCCTTCGGCTGCCCCACCTTTTTCGTCAAGCGCGCCCACTTCCCTCCTGACGTGCGCGACTGGATGGCGAGAGAGGGTGCGGTGGGCGAGGCCGACGAGGAGATGTTCTTTGGCGCGGACCGCATCAACCAGATGGCCTTCTTGCTGAGGCTGCCGTGGAAGGGGCCGGGGGGGACGGGTGTGGAGCCGTCGAGTCAGAGGGAGGAGCCCGGCATTGTCGAGATACACAGCAGGCTGTGATCAATGGTCGGGCTTAGAGGTGTGTTGTGTGTGGTGTGCACAGAGAGAGAGGGATGGAGACCCTGCTGGTGCGAGTCTTTTTCGTGGCTTCTGTTGGTGTCAGCGAGCTTGTGTTGCTGGCTCGTGGGTGCTTTCCCCCTGGTTCCAGTCAGCTGTCGTGTGATCTCTCTGGCCCTTCGTCTCGCGTACCACGGCGCATCGGATGTGTGTCGACCAGAGCACGATCCGCACTGATTGGCAGATTGCTGTGCGTCGTCGTACAGAGACAGAGGGCCGCAGAAGGAACCAGTACGGCCAAGGATGCTGTCGCTGACTCATCTGTGTAAGTATTGTGCAGTGTTGACAATCTTCATTTACCACCGATCAGTTAACGTAAGTTGCTGGGTCCGCACAGAAGAGTGTGTGCTGTGTCCATTCACCCCGGCCGGCCCATCACACGCGAAAAAACAGCGCCACTTGTCGTGTTCGGGTGGTCTGTCTGTGTGGGTGCAGTCACATCACTGCACGCTTCGATGTCAGCACCGGTACGCATTATGTATACAGCGGCCGCCACACGTAGACAAACGACACAACAGCCAGCCAGGCAGACAGACAGGACGAACACCCGTTGAAACAGTGCGCCAACCACACACACAGCCTGGGTTCGTTCGTTCGATGACGTCTGCATTCTGCACATGGGGGCGGCCATCCATCCGCACCGTCGAGTGGCACCTGCAGCTGACTGAGCCGTGAGCAGGTGCCACTCGAGAACGGCTCCGACGGAGAGCCCAGCCCCCATACGAGAGAGACTGAACGAACCGAATCGGTCACTTCACACATACGTACGTGCACTCTCTACGACAGGACAATTCGTCGCTTTGGAGTCAATGAGCGCTGCCTCTTCCCCCCTCCCTCCCTCCCTCCCTGTCTGTCTGTCTGTCTGTCTGTCTGTCGTGCCATGAGCTTTCGCGTGTGATTGGTGATACCATCCATTCCCACAGATGACACCGTAGCGTAGCTAAGAGGCTACACTCCTGGCCCACAACAGACAGACAGACCACTACCAGCACACGAAACACGCAGCTCTCGCCTCCCTCCCTCCCTCCGGCACACACCGCAACACAGCTCACAGCCTCGCATGACAACACGACTGCTCCCGCCCCCATTATCACTTGCTGCCTCCCTCGCTGCTCTCGATTTGCTGCTTGTCGTACTTGGGGTCCGGTGCGGGGATGGATGTCTCGCCCGCCTTGAGGTGCTCGCTCCAGTAGCCGCGGAGCTGCTCCTTCTTGAGCTCCGCCAGATGCTCGGGCGTGATGTTCTCCTCGAGCAACTCGGTCTCGTCAGGAGGACCCCCACCTACAAGACGTCCACGACAAGAAGGAAAAGACAGAGGCAGCCACCCCCATTGGTGTGTGAATCGGTGTGAGTGAGAGGGATGATGGGTGTGTGAGTGTGAGTGTGAGTGTGAGTGTCAGGTGTGTACCGACGTACCGTATAGGTAAACGTCCCTGTAGGCGACATCGCCTTCGCCCCAGTGGACGTAGTCGCCGGCGTTCCACATCTTCTGGCCCTTCTCGATCAGACTGTAGTCAAAAATGTCGTCAATCTGCATGACACACAACACAAAACCCACAACACCGGTGGACGCTGTCCATTCCTGTCCGTGCATGTGGCCGACTGTGTGTGTGTGTGTGTGCTCTTACGTCTTCATCGACGGGGAATGGCTCTGACCCGTCCGGCAGGTCGTACTGGACCCTGACGAGCATGAAGATCTGGTCGCACTCGCCGCAGCGGTAGAGGAACCCCTCACGGCAGAAGAACCACAGAGCGTGGTGCTCGTTGTCGCCCGTGCCGCCAGTGCAACCCACACCACTGACACACACACACACACGCACCCACCCACCCACCCGTAAGCAGTGTGTCCCGGCCGGGTGTGCATGATTGCCTCACTCACTGCCTCACCGCATGTTGTGGACGGACGGGACGAGGCAGGGGTTTTCGACGGTGCCGAAGGGTCCGATGAATGGCGACTGGCAGAGGTACTCGTACAGCTCGATGAGGCCCACCATGTGCTCGGCGGGCTCGTGGATCTTGGCGAAACCCATGTCGCGCGCCAGCTGCCGGTAGCTGAGGGTCGGGAGCCGTTCGGGGTTGACCAGGGAGGCCTGGCCCCGCAGCTGCCAGTACCAGTAGTTCTCGAAAAAGTTCATCTGTGTGGGGTCCTTGCGCATGAGCTTCTTGATGTCCTTGGGCATGGTGTCCTTGGGCAGCTCCCAGTCGTGACCCCACGTACGACTCCAGTTGTGGTACGAGCGGCGGTGCTGCGGGGGGACGGGGAGGGACAAGCCAGTGCTGGACGGCATCAAGCTGACCATCGACGAGGCGGATCCTTGCGACAGAGGGCGCCGAAGGCCCGATGAGAGCAGCGGGCGGAGGGCCATCCTGGCTGTGCAGGGTGTCGAGTCGGCTAGATGCCGACCACAAGGGACGCGCCGAGCTCGCCGATGCCCTTCGGAAGGGGGGCTCCTCGCCTCCTTTTTTTGCGAGCTCAAATGCTTCGGGAGGGGGTGCCAGGTAGTTGGATTTCTGTGCCGCCGTCGCTGATACCCTCAGCTCATTGGTCGGTGAAGGCTTCTAAGGTCTCGCAGGTTCCGGCGGTGCTCAGACGATCCGCCCAAGTTGAAGCCGGCCTTCCCGGCTCATCAAGAGCACCATTCGGCCTTGCTGCAGCCCTCGGTTGCTCATCCACGGCCCCTGCGTCAGTTTGCATCGCTGCGGAGGCCGCTTCCCAGTTGCAGACATTACCTGAGACCGGTTGATATACCGAGGTGTTATTGGTGGCGTCTTTGCCGGGCGTGTATGATTGATATGTGATGGCGCGGACCCGCAAGAGTCGTTCTGGAAGTGCGCGAGCGTCGACGGGAGGTAGCAGGCGTGGCGGGGGGCGGGATGAGGGCGAGCAGCAGCAGAGGGGCACGTCGGCGAGACGGCGGGACAGCCCGGAGGGACGCAAGAAGATCAGACACCGACCAGGTACGGACGTCAGTGCGCATGCACGACTGTATTCGTGTCAGAGAGGTGGGAGGGGGATTGGGAGGAATGGGATTGACGACTGCTGTGCGTCGTGTGCGCTGCGGTTCTTGTCATGTCACCGTCCCTCAGGTTTCCGTGCGCTGCGTGAGATTCGCAAATACCAGAAGTCGACGGATTTGCTGATTCCCAAGCTGCCGTTCGCCCGTCTGGTCAAGGAGACCACCTACAAGCTGTTCGGCGAGCACTTCCGCTGGTCAGTGGAGGCCCTCCAGTGCGTCCAGACGGCCGCCGAGGCACACCTCACCGGCATATTTGCCGATGCGTACGCCCGCATTACTTACATAGGAAGAAACGCGCACAACACACTTACAACACGAGCAGCCGTGTGTGGCCTGTCTGTGTCTGTGTCTGTGGTGTGCTGTGCTGTGCTGTGTGTGTGTTTGCAGGCAGCTGTGTTCTTTTCATGCGAAGCGGGTCACTCTCATGCTCAACGACATACGACTAGGTGGGCGAGCCACTGAAGCAGCGTATGCAAGCCATGACGTGACATCTCCTGCTCTTGTCTGTCGGTGTGTCTGTCTGGTCCTGTCTGGTCCTGTCTGCATCTTTCCTTCCATCAGCGCGGCGCCTGCGCGGCGACGGCAAGTTTTAGCGGTGAACCTTCCAGCCTGTCTGCCTGCTCGTAACGAGGATCGAAACCCGACGTACTCTTTCCCTTCCCTCCCTCCCTCCCTCCCTCCCCTCACTGCATTCGTGTGTGGGTGCGTTGCGTTGGTGTTGGCGCGGTTGGCTGGCTGTTGCTGAGTGCGTGTACATTAGATGGGTGCTATGGATTGTTGGACTTATGGTGGCTGAGGGGACCGCATGGATGGATGGATGATACGGTTTTTTCACGAATCGAATGGGTGGACCGGTGTATGTGTGGTATGTATGGCTGGCGTGTGAGGGAGGGAGGGTTGGCTGCAAATCGATGTGCTTTCTATCTACGGCTGGCTGGCTGGCTGGCTAACCGCCTGTGTGTATGTTATGTGGACAGACCCTTCCTTCATGCAATGCATTGGGATGAATGTCGGACCAATCTATTGGGGTGAGGCGCATCTCGACCCAGGCTGGGGATGAAATCGATTTGTTCGTTTCCAATTGCTGGCGGGGCGCTTTGGTTTGTGCGCAGTGCCAGCAATGCAACTCTTCCTACCACCCTGCATCTGGCATCGCATCCTCCAGCTGGGCTCGCAGCTTCAAGAAGGAAACCGCCCATCAAGAAGGAACGCGTCGCAAGAAGGAACGCAGCCTTTGAAGAGGCATGGATGATTCACTCATGGAAGATGTGGCACCTGCAGCCCCTTCGGCACACCACACCGGACAAGCCATCAATGGCGACACTCACATGCCGCAAGCACCCGAGCCAGGACCAGCAGCACCAGCGGCGGCTGCAGCAGCTGCAGCGGCTGCATCTCCCTCCCCTGTCGCCCCTACTCGGCCCCCTCCCGGCCCTCCCCTGCCGGAATTTATCCGCATCGAGGTGCCCGGCACTGTCCAGGACCCGCAGGCAGTCATCAAGGCCATGGGAGGCGAGGACGAAATCTCTGCCGCCGTGAGGGACGACGACCCAGACAGACCTCTCAGCATCCGGCTGGGCGAGAATGACCGCTTCGCGACGCCCGTTCCATCTCGGCACTGCGACACGAGTGACCTTCTGGTGCGCGTGAGGAGGCGCAAGTACGCTGATGGCCGGCAGGAGATCGTCAATTTCCAGCCAGTGGGCTACGTGACCCGCGCGTATCGCTTCCGTGCTTTGGCTGACTTCTACTTCACGCCCCCTGAGACCGCCCGGAGCAGGCCGGTCCTCGATCTGGACGACATCCGGATCCCTGAAGACGAGATGGCCTTCTTCCGACCTCCCTACTTCTCCAAGCTCTATGACTCTTTCGACTTCCAGCTGCCCGAGGAGCCACCACCCGCTGCCGCAAAGGCAAAGGCAAAGGCCAAAGCGGCTGCTGCGAAGGCCGAGGGCGAGGCTGCTCCTGCCGCGGCTGCGGCTGCTGCTGCTGCTGGTGACGAAGGTGAGGGGGCGATGGAAATGGTCAAGGAGGAGCCAGAGGAGATGAATCCGGAGGCCAAGAAAAAGCCGTCGGGGAGGGGCGCCAGGCGGACTTTCGCCCGCAAGTGGGCTGAGGCCACGCCGGCCATCGAGCAGGAGGAGGGAGAGGCGTCACCACCAGCAGCAGCAGCAACAGCTGCTGCTGCGACGCCGGCCGGAGGAGAGGGCAGGGAGGTTGCAGACACGAGCACGGCGGTGGTGCCGGCACCGTCGGCGGCCAAGGACAAGAAGGCTCAGGTGCAGCTGGTGTTCCTGGCCAAGTTCAGTGACCAAGGCATACCTGCACGGCCATCTGACATCGACTTCAAACCAGGTGAATGACAGCGCAACACAGTACACGAAGCTGGCGAGCATCAATAATCGGTTGTGGTGTTCGTTCAGGTGCGGCGGTGAGTGAGATTGTGGCGCGGCTGTTTGAGGAGAAGCCCATCTGGCTGCGTCCCCAGGTGGATTACTTCGCGAGGGCGCGGCTGAGGGAGAAGGAGCCCCTCACAGGTGTCAGCGACTGGTCCCTGCGACGCGTCATCGCGTACCACTCTTACTCGTGGCAAGGTGCGCCTGACAACGCGACAAACCGATGGATGGGCGAAATGCATGCACGTGCGGGCGCGTGCAATTTTGCTTGGTGTGATGTGGTGTGTGCTGTGGGTGTGTGTGCAGATGGTCCGTGGCGGCTTGCGCTGTGTCGGTGGGGCTATGACCCAAGACAAGACCCAGAGGGGCGATTCTTCCAGGTGCAGTCACTGCACCCATAAATTCACCACACCACACGGACATCTGAATGCACCTCCCTGTGTCCAGGTGATCGATTTCCGCGACCCCTACTTCAGGAGCACGGCCTACAACCCACAACAAGAGAAGACCAAGGGCAAACCATCAGCAGCTGCTGCTGCAGCAGCCGCGGTGGCTGGTGGTCAGGAGGGCCAGGAGGGGCAGCAGGAGGGTGCTGAGGAGAAGGAGCCGACGTTCGAGCAGCTGATGCGGTTCCAGGTGCCGCCCAAGATGATGAACCAGATGTACATACTCGGCGACATCGACGACGCCCCCCTCCAGAAGGTCCTCAAGGAGGCACAGCTCCTCCAACAGCCAAAAATCGACACAGGCAAGGCCCCCCCGCCCCGCCCCTCTGCTCATGGATGGTCCATGTATGTGCGTGGCGTGGATGTGTGTGTGGATGTATCTATGTGCCACCCATCAGGCTGGTTCGACAAGAAGACGCTCACCCAGATCCGCAACCACCTGAAGCTCAAGTCTCAGCGGATGCGCGACCGGCTGCTGTCGGAGGTGCCCCGTGGCGTGGCCATGGAGCGGCAGCAGACCATCTCCACCAAGCGCATCCTGCAGAGGAAAGCAGCCAGCAGCAAGAGGCGGACCTCCTCAGCGGGGAGCAGGAGCAGGTCGGCCAAGGGAAGGGGCAAGAAGGACGAACAGCACCACCAGCAGCAGCAGGAGGCAGGGCAGCCTGAGCAGGAAGCGTCTCAGCAGCAAGAGGGGCAGGGCGGCGAAGGGGCGGGCGATGGGGATGGACCAGAGATGGATAATACATTGGACATGCGATAGATAATGGGACAGACTGACACGGGGCTGGCTTGGATTGGGTTGGATTGGACCTAACCGAGAGTGTCTTGTGGCCCATGGCTTGTGACGGACGGACTGCATTGATTGATTTCCTCAATGTGTTCATTCTCATATGTCGAGTCGTCTCTCCCATTACCAGAACATTCCTTCTCTCAACCCGTCGGCAAGGGGTGTCGATGGTCTCTGTTCGGTGTCGTCATCCTCCTGCCTTCGCTGTCCCCCGTCTGTGGGGCCAACGAAGCGAGGAACCCAACGAGACCGAACAGAGGCGCACCACCCCACCGCAATCCATGGAAACACACGTCGTCGTCGTGGAAAACCAGCAATCTTTATGACCTAGTGGCACGAAAAAAAGGCATTGCCGTTCCGTTCGTCATTTATCGTTGTTCTCACTCACAGCTGCAATGACTGCTGTGAGTCCGTACGAAGGCCCACGTGACATGACACAACACAGCACAGCACACCACACCAGCACTTGCATGGACGGACACAGAGCAGAAAAGCCTGCTCACTGACCCAAGACTCTCGTTACGGCCTCCTTGATCGCCGTTTCCTCTGTCTGTCTGTCTGTCTGCCAGCTCTCGTGACGCCGTTGACCAGCACGCTATCGGGCATTCCGTCGACTGCAGGATGCCTGATCACATGCCGAACAACTGCATGAGAGCAGGCAAACGAGACCAACGAAAAGCCATCTCAGCCAGTCCCTCTCTCGGCAGCCAGCCATCGAACCGTCACATCCATCCATCGCGTTGCATGCCATGCATAAAGTGAGGGCAACAAAATGACGCCCATAGGGCAGCACACGTTTAATTCCTAGCCAGCCTTCACTAACTACCACTACGTGTCTGTACGAATACTCACAAAACTGACACACACATACGTTCAAACCTGGTCATATGTGTGTATGCCCGTATGCACCCTCGTCGGTCGGTCTGAGTGTGTGGTGGATCAGAATCTGTAGCCGAGTATCTTGTTGACCTTGCCGGTCTTGATGCGCACCTTGCCGTCGCCCCCGTGCTTCTCGGGGAACCGGCAAGTCTCGTAGACCTTCAGACAGTGCTGCCCGGCCTTGGTCGACCGAAGCTGACCTCTCTGAACAAACAGACGGACACGTGCACACACACAGAGAGAGAAAGGAGAATGCATCTTGTGCTCTGTGTGTGTGTGAGTGTGTGTGTGTGTTTATGTGAGTGTGTGCGTACTCTCTTCTCGAGTTCTGGCGGCGAAGCGTCATAGGACTCGGACTGGCCGAAGACGCCGCTCATCTGGGGAACGCCGACAAGCACGTTTGCGATGGCAGCGAACGTCTGTGGACGAAACGGGTGAGTGAGGCAATGGACACACGGATGGATGGATGGATTGATTGATGGATGGATGGATGGTCGCGTGCTGTGTCACTCAGTGACTGACCAGGTCGGCAGCAGTGAAGGACGATCCGAAGAGGTACTGCCGACCGTCGCTTCACACACACGCACACAGAGAAACCATCCATCCATCCATCGCTCACGGTGATTGTGTGAGTGGTTTGCGGGCGGACCTGAGTTTGTTTTCGACAAGTGTGAAGACATCCATGACCTCCTTCTGGTACTCATCCAGCCTGTCCCACGACAGACCGAACGCCTTTGTCATGATGCCTGCCATCTGCAGGACGCACACACATCCACACACGGGGATACGCCATCCAGCAATCATCAGTCCCGGAATTGCGCGCATGTGCTGCGCACCACAGGGAGGACGAATGGCGCCATCATGTTTTCGACGACGGATCCGTGCGACATGAACACCCGGGCTATCTTGATCTTGGCTGATGCGTCCTTGCCATATATCGTGTAGGCCATCGACCGCACTGCCGGCGCCAGCTTCTCGTTCACGATCTATCACATGCAGTGAGTGATACGTCTGCCTGCGTGCAAGCGCATGTAAAAGCTCATTGGCTGACCCTCTCGAATGCCTTGATCTCCTCCTTGTGCTCAGCGGGGTAGAGGTTGAGCTCAGGATGCTTCTCAGCGATGAAGTCGAGAATGTCTGACGAGTCCGTTAGCACCTTGCCGTCAGGCAGCACCAGCACGGGCACCATCGTCGATGCACCTACATGATGCACACACGCAGCGGAGACCAGTCATCAGCCCGCTATGTGTGCATCTCTGTCTGCGTGTCTGTGTCGGTTGTGTCCGTTCACCCACCCTCGCGCTCACTCACCTTTGGTGGCCTCGAGTGTGTAGTGCGCGTGCATGCCGGGCGGGTGGGCGTCCTCAACGTAGTCATCTCCACTCAGGTCGAGAGCCCACCGCACCTTCTCGGTGAAATGAGACACTGCAACACGCAACACACAGCAGACATTAGTCAGCCAGATCTGGCAATGATCAGAGGCGCAGGTGTGTCTGCTCGCCTGGTATCGAGATCAGGCGCGCCTTTCCGCCGCCCTCCGCGGTCTTCTGCGGCTCTTCGACAGCACGAAATGTGGTCAGCGCCCATGCGATGAAGGGATTCGGGGCGATGGCGTTTCTTGCCGAAGGTGGGTAGGTGGTGCTGATGTCTGTGCACACTTTCGACATGGTTTTGTGCTTTCCTTCTCGGAGCTCAAAAGCTCGCCCGTCGAGAAAATTGAGGGACGAGACGGGAACTCTTTTTTCTTTTTTCTTCGCCTGTGTTCCCCTTTTTCATCCCCTCGTTCTTCGCCTTTTCCCGTGCTCCCGTTCATTCAAGCATCGACATCGACTTGCCGTTCGCGTTGTCCGCACCACCACCGCGAAGGCAGACCATGGTGCGAGGAGGCGAGAAGGGGATAAGGAAGAGGACGGCAGGACGGCAGACGGCCGCAATGCACGTCCCTCCTCCCGTCTGTACGTTTCTCATTCGTGTGCTGTCATTTTGTGCTCGCCCTGGCCCGGCTTGGACTTCCCTTATTTTGGCCGTGCGAGGGCGTATTGCACCGAATGCCTGCACCTCGCAGAGCAGGTGGGCGAACGAATGAATACACACCGACACACACACACGCGCGCGATACACGAACAAGGATCTGTCTGCTCGTGGTGGGCATCTTCAGCGGGAGAAGACAGCCGCCAAACTCGGCGCCAAGCCCATCGTCGGCAGGCCCGTCTGCCACACCGAGGGAACCGTGCGGACCAATGACCGACGAATGGTACGAACAAGGCAAGGGAAGAAGGATTGATCTCCATTGGGGCCTACACTGTGTCTTTATCTCTTGGTGCAGCTCTGAGCTGTCGAGCTGCGAGATTCTCCGGGTTATTGCGGCAAGGACTGCGGACATCAACGCCAGAGTGAACAGGCTTATTGTTGAGCGGCAGGTGCCGGCGCAGACGCCCCAGCAGCCCCTTCCCAAGCAGGCAGAAGCACCACCCGCCAGCAACCACCAAGCGCGTGAGAAAAGAAGAGGGTGAAGGTTGTTCTTATAGTTGTGAGTGCGGCTGGTCAGGTGTTGGCCATGAGCAAGCGACAACTGAGGCCAGATTCATCCCTCTACTCATTGCGACCCTCAAGAAAGACTTTATCTTCGTCGTTGAAAGGATGTCGTGTAAGGACAGGACAGCCTTGCAGAGATGCCAAAGATACTTCTTGTGTTCTTCGGTGCAGCTGACTGTTTCATGCCGCTAAGGAGATGGCCGCCAGGAAGACCGGGGCAGGGCAGGTGCTGACAGACATCCAAGGATGGCGCAGACACCTGCGCCGGAGCCGAAGCCCTCGACCAGCAAAAAGGCGGCGATCGAATGCACCAGACAAGGATACATCCACGGACTGTCTGCTGTCTGTCTGTCTGGCTGTCTGTCTGTGCCAGCGTCTCGACCGGAGAAGCAAATGGAGACCGAGCTAATACACACAAATTGGATTCTCTTCTCTTCTTTCCGTGGGTTTTCTTCTCTGTTTGGGGCAGGATTGGCATAGTTGGGGATACGAACGTTTCTGTCGATAAAGCTGTCGGTGCCGGACGACCCAAAAAAGGGGTGCAGGCTGCTGCGGGAGGTGAGAGGATGTCACGTGTGTCGTCTCGCCAGTGATTTCCCTTCTCCTTTTTGCTCAGGTGAGTGAGGATCTTTGCAAGGACAGTCCCCACCGCCATTTGGCAGTTGGGCCGGTGGTCGCGCATTATGTTGAGAGCCGCAAATTGTGCAGAGATGAGGACATGCTGGTCAGCTGGACGCACTCGTTGTCAGTCAAGAGACATTCATTTGACCTGGTGTCTGCTGCGCATATGTGGTTGCTGCAGACGCCGCTCCCCCCGCTCATCAGAGGCTACCTCCGTTTCGACAACGCGTGAGTGAAAGGGCGCTCGATCATCACTCATCACAAACCCTTGTTGTCTTTATGCAGTGACCGCGAGCAGGACTATCAACAGGCCGTCGACATCATGACTTCTGAAGTGCGCAGGTACGCAAGAGCAAGTGGATGAATGCGGTGCTGATGCCTGCTGTCGCCGCTTCATTTTGGTGTCGTCCAGTGAGTTGATGTGGGCGGGTGCGAGCAGAGACCAAGGAGATCTGCTGCCACAGCTGAGGCGGTACAAGGCACGCCGTCTTGCATGGCCATTCTTCGTGATGCGGCGATATGAGGACGTGCGGGCCATTGTCGGACAAGGAAAGAGAGAATGAGAAAATCACCAAGAACAGACTATACATACCTACGTTACATTATTGGTTGCAGCGTCCTTCTCGTCGCTAGCCGATGCCGGAGAGGCGCCGCTCGCATACATCGCATCGTTGCTGGCCGGGCGTGTCGATGAGGCCATGCGGAGAGCCTACCTGCTGCATGTGGTCAGCCATTCCGCTGGCAATGTCGCTGTCTCTTCTCATCGTTTCTTCTTGCTGCTTTAGCCCCAGGAATCGGCGGAAAGCAAGTCAAGCGACACCTGCAGTGGATGGGAGGCAGCCATGTTGAGGCGGCTTGGCCAGCAGCCCACGTAAGACACAACAAAGATGGCGGTGTACACACGGAGGATCCTGACCACTGCACACGCCTCTGAGTCGCCTTCTTTCTTTCCAGATTCCTCTTAGAATGCGATGTGTTGGTGACCAGTCAACGAGTTGCGTTTGGATTTGGTGAGATATATTCCTCTCTTTGCTGGTTGTCTCATGGACAGGACGCAATAGTGAGGACGGCTTCTGTCCATGAGTCCAGCAGCCTCCCATGGCGTTCAGAAGCATGCACCACCAGCACGCGGCGGTGCGGGATGATCCACAACGGCCGCAGCACCACCAGGGAGGTCAGGCTGAGCTTCGAGAAGGACCGACAGGGGCGAGTGGGAGTCGCCTGAATGCTGACACAGTTCCATTCACCAGTTGGGCGGGGGGATTGGGATGTCGCGGTGTCGATGAGGTATGCGGTGAAGACTTCCAGCAGATGGGCGTGGACCAGTGGATGAACGGATCCTTCCAAGGTGGGTGATGGGGACAGACAGACAGACAGACAGACATAGAGAGAGAGAGAGAGAGAGGAGGGAGGGAATGGCCAACACACACATACGTCGCCCTCCATCACTCATGGCTTGCTGCATGTGCTGTTTGTTTCAGGCGTGTGTGAGTACTCGTGTAGTCATGGCGGCGACGGTTCCCCGGCGACCATCGTCTCTCCCCCCCACCCACTGCCGTTCAACAACGACACGCTGCAGGGCCACTCGTCAGCGTCAGCGGGCGTCAACCGGATACAGCTTCCCGACGGCAGCGTGGTGTTCACCGACTCATCGCTGGCCAGCCCCACGGCTGCTGCAGCGGTGCCGTATGAGGCGATTGGGCCGGCATTCCCCCCGCCAGTCATCTTGCCGACGTCCTGGGACCACCCCCATGCCCACCCTCGCCCAAGTGACGTCCCGCGCTATCCAAATCCTTATGCCGTAAGTGACGGAGAGAGAGAGAGAGAGAGAGAGAGCAGCAGGCGAGAGATGCGCTGTGTGTCTGTGTCTGTGTGGGGGTATGTATGCATGTCTGCATGTGTGTTGTGTTGTGTCGTGCAGAGGGTGGGCTATGGCCCTGCGAGGCCCATGGTGGTGAGGACAGGCATTCATTTCGAAGTGGGACTGCGACCATTTGCTGGTAAGTAAGTGTCTTTACACATGCGGTGCGGTAAATAAAGACACACCTCCCCATCCATGGATCCATCATTCATGACATGATGGATGCGATGCATCGCATCCGTCTGTCTGTCTGTTTGTTATTTATCCATCTCTGTCTATCTATCAGGTGGTCAGTATGCTTACAAGGGCCACCATGACCTGCCTGCAATGGCATTCGCGGGCGGAGGCGGGCCGGGGCCCACACGTGTGCCGATTATCCCACACACTCACTGTATGGGCACGACACACATACTCACATATATAACACACCACACTCAAACACATACATACAGCACACTCACCTCACTGTGTCTGTGTCTCTGTCTGTGTTGGATGCATGGATGGATGGATGGATGGATGCAGACTGTCGGGGTGCTGCATATGGCCGACACCCACACTGCCGAAACCACACAGACAGGTACAAACACACACAGAATAAAGACTCAGGTAGGCGGGGCCGTGTCATCCGTTCTATTCTGTCTGTCTGTCTGTCTGTCAGGGGAGTAGTGTGTTCATCGCACCCCTCCAGCGGTCGTCCCCCCTTCCGACCCCCGCCACCCCACCGTCGATTAGCCGCGCCATCCCACCCACTGGTGGCCACCGGGGCCCACAGGCACATGCCGTCCAACGGGGGAGGCGACCAGACAGCCGCAGACGGACCCCTCAAGAGGCTCTCGCGCTCCACATGGTTGATCTGCAACCCGAGGTGACATCAGCCAAGGCCCTCGACGACTACTTACTTCATTGCGTCCTTCCCAGTGAGCGAGCCGCCGCGCGGTGTCTGCGTATGTGTGACCATCTTCGTGTCGGTGGTGTGTGTGTGTGTGTTCCAGATCTCGTGGCTGGAGATCACAGCGGTGATTTGGCCTGCCCCCAGTGGGGCGACTAACACTGCCATGAATGCGTGGGGGTGCGCTCGTGCGTGCGTGTGGTTGGCCGTGATTGCGCCCAGCGAGAGTGTCGAGCCTGCTCATCGTTGCCTACATTTTATATTTTTTGGGCCGTGAGACATCAACCCCACGTGTTTTTACACGTACAAGCCGCCTACTAAGAGGGTAAGCCTAAAGAGAGACACGCCTCAACATCGTCGCAACATGGATGGCACGTCAATCATATGGCGTGTGTGTGTGTGTGTCTGTGAGCGTGTCAGGCAACGGCACCCAGAACATCTTCTGGACTGACCCTGATGTGTTCTTTTGTTCGATACACAGATACTCATCTTTCTGCCCCGTAAGCCTGCCAGCAACGGAAATCATTCCAGCAACGGATCCGTTGCTGGTGTCTGATCAGAACACGGGTGACATGGACGAGATGGGGGAGAGCGATGGCTATGGCTATGGCGCCACACTCAACCTTTACGCCATCTTCAAGCACGTCATCGTGCCTGTGGTACACCACATGGCATGGAAGCTGTAGAGTTCGACCCCCTGGGTGAGCCCACAATTGCGCGCATGAGAGATGGGGATGACATTGTGTGCCCATGTGTGTCGTGTGTGTAGGAGAGTGTCACGTGAGTCCTGGGTTGTACGGGTGGATGACGGAGCAGATATGCCGTCTCGCCGAGATATACGCAGACGGGAAAGTCATGCTGGGTACCACAGACGCAGAGAAGAGAGACACTGAATGACACGCATCGAATATGTGTTATGGCTGCAGTGTTAACAGAAAAGGCACGCAGGGGAGAGAAGGGGAGGTGCCCACCTGCCATGAGTTACATACATACACATCATTGTTGTCCATCATGCATGTGGGGCAGGATGACTTCCTGACGCTGTTCTACGACAGGGGTCACAGGGCTGGATGGAGGTGCTACTCGAAGCCAGAGGCGGTCGCACAGGCACACAGAGAAAGAGAGAAAGAGGATTTTGCCATCATGGCCCATACGTCTCGATGTGTGTGTCTTGTGTTTCAGAGAGACACACCCCCTGCTGCTGCTGCTAGTGGTGGTATTGGTGAGGATGTGTGGCGAGGTACCGGGCCTACGGCAAAGGCCTCTCGCGCATCGCAGGGGTACGCTCGCATCCACACAACCACATAACATACACACGGACGCATTCGCAATCAGTGGAGTCGCACTCGCATGACCTGGTGTCTGATGCGCAATGCGGTTGCTGCATGCGAGCTCCCACCGGCGATCAGAGACTACGTCAGCTTCGACAACGTCATCACTCGCCCTTGCCTTCTCCGTGTGGCGTGCGTAAGGATGATCGCTGCCTACATCTTATATCCTTTGTTTGTTTTGTGGCACGTAACGTAAAGCACACAGATATCAAGCGTGGTGCCGAGGATTCGCAATGGCGTTACACACAGGAGGACTGGGTTTTTTAGCATGACAAGTTGCAATGCGAGACGCAACAAAGGCTGCTTTCTGTGTTTTGTTACCGGCTGTCTATGTGCAGCGACGAGAATCCTCTGTGTGAGGAAGGTGGCTGTTCTGCGGGCTGAGCTGCAGCGGACCAAGGCTGGAGTAAGAGAGAGATGGATGGTCGACTTGTGTGTGTGTGTGTGTGTGTGTTCTCGAAGAGGAGAAAACCAACTTCGAGCACTACTCCAACTTGGTGAGTGAGCTTCTGGCGAGGTCCGGGGTCCCAGCGGACTGGTGCATGCAGGAGGTGTACGACATGCTCAACGAGGAGTGGCCCGAACCGTCGAAGGACTCGTGCCTCTACCGCGACTTGGCAGCCGAGCTGGGCAGACAGAGGGCCCACCGGGAGATGCTCCAGTAAGCAATTGATTGGCACACGAGCGGGCGCGATTTCATGAAAGGCAGCCAGCGTCTGTCATCCACACACATGTCTTTCTCGTGCTGGCTGCGTTTGTTGTGATTTGTGTGGGTGCAGACAGGAGCTGGCCACACTGAGGGACAAGCTAGACCAGGTGACACAACAAAGATGGCGGTGTACACACGGAGGATCGTGACCACTGCACACGCCTCTGAGTCGCCTTCTTTCTTTCCAGATTCCTCTTAGAATGCGATGTGTTGGTGACCATCCACGAGTTGCGTTTGGATATGGTGAGATATATTCCTCTCTTTGCTGGTTGTCGTTCCGACAAAGACGACGAGGACGCAATAGTCAGGACGGCTTCGGTCCATGAGTCCAGCAGCCTCCCATGGCCTTGAGAAGCATGCACCACCAGCACACGGCGATGCGGTTTGACCCACAACGGCAGCAGCACCACCACTGGCAGGGAGGTCAGGCGGAGCTTCGAGAAGGACCGACAGCGGCGAGTGGGAGTCGCCTGGGTGGTGACGCTGCTGCATTCACCAGTTGGGCGGGGGGATTGGGATGTCGCGATGTCGATGAGGCATGCGATGAAGACTTCCAGCAGATGGGCGTGGGCCAGTGGATGAGCGGATCCTTCCAAGGTGGGTGATGGAGACAGACAGATAGAGAGAGAGACAGACAGACAGACAGAGGGAGAGAGAGAGAGAGAGAGAGAGGAGGGAGGGAATGGCCAACACACACATACGTCGCCCTCCATCACTCATGGCTTGCTGCATGTGCTGTTTCAGGCGTGTGTCGGTACTCGGTTCCCCGGCGACCATAGTCTCTCCCCCCCACCCACTGCCCTTCAACAACTACACGCTGCAGGACCACTCGACGCCAGCTTCCCCACGGCAGCGTGTTCACCGACTCATCGCTGGCCAGCCCCACGGCTGCTGCTGCAGCGGTGCCGTATGAGGCGATTGGGCCGGCCTTCCCCCCGCCAGTCATCTGGCCGACGCCCTGGGACCAGCCGCATCCCAACCCTCTTCCAAGTGACGTGCCGCGCTATCCATATCCTTATGCCGTAAGTGACGGGGAGAGAGAGAGGGGGAGTGATGGCAGCAGGCGAGAGATGCGCTGTGTGTCTGTGTCTGTGTGGGGGTATGTATGTCTGCATGTGTGTTGTGTTGTGTTGTGGTGTGCAGAGGGTGGGCTATGGCGCTGCGAGGCCTATAGTGGTAAGGGCAGGCATTCATTTCGAAATGGGGCTGCGACCATTTGCTGTAAGTAAGTGTCTTTACACATGCGGTGCGGTAAATAAAGACACACCTCCCCTCGTCATCCATCCATCATTCATGACATGATGGATGCGATGCACCTGTCTGTCTCTTTGTTTGTTATTCATCCATCTCTGTCTATCTATCAGGTGGTCAGTATGCTTACGAGGGCCACCATGACCTGCCTGCAATGGCATTCGCGGGCGGAGGCGGGGTGGGGCCCACACGTTTGCCGATTATGCCACACACTCACTGTATGGGCACGACACACATACTCACATATATAACACACCACACTCAAACACATACATACAGCACACTCACCTCACTGTGTCTGTGTCTCTGTCTGTGTTGGATGGATGGATGGATGGATGCAGATTGTCGGGGTGCTGCATATGGCCGACACCCACACTGTCGAAACCACACAGACAGGTACAAACACACACAGAGGGAAGATTCAGGCAGGCGGGGCCGTGTCATCCGTGCTCTTCTGTCTGTCTGTCTGTCTGTCAGGGGAGTAGTGTGTTCATCGCACCATTCAAGGGGACAGGAGAGGAAGAGCGGGACGACATGCTCGATGATGAGGAAGCGGCGGGATCGCTGCCTGCATTTTATATCCGTTGGTTTGTTACTCAGTGACTATTGCATGCGGATCGACCGGTTTGATGTGAAGTGTGCAGCCACTACGTGTCTCTCCGTCGGTTGGTCCATCCCCCCATCCCCCCGTGTGCAGTCAGTATGGCTGCGCAGTAGCTCGGCTGCATTTGGATTCATGTCATCGAACGAAGGACAGTCGCGTATGTACTGCACTGCACGGGTCCTTAGTCCTACTTCACTTTCCTCTGATTATCTACCCCAGCAAAAATACAAAAGTCGTCTTCACATCCACATGACATCCACTCCTTGATCAGCTGACATTAGCCAGCCAGCGAAATGAACGGCTCATCCTCGGCCATGGCCTCGGCTGTCGTCTCCACATCGCCGATGACCGATGCACAACCGTGGCTGGCCAATACACAGACACAGACGCATCGATCGCATCGTGTGTGGGTGAGCTGTGCGATGCTCTGGCTGCGTCTCCTCTACTCTACATACCCTGATGCGCGTAGATCTTCAATGCACGCAGCTGCAGCTGATGCAGGCACCTGCGACACAGACAGCTCCCATCCCTGCCATGCAGGCAGAGAGGCACGCCTTGCTCACCGTGGCGATGAGCCCGCCCGACGTCTGGGGGTCGAAGAGCAGCCGACACGATGGCGTTGACGATGCAGCCCCTCCCGCATCGATGATGAAACGACTCACTCTACACACACGCACACCACCAACAAACACACTCACCCACTGCACACATCTGTCCGTCATCGCACCTTTCATTTGACTCCTGTAGTGTCGAGAGATGTCCGTCTTTCACGCACTCGAGTGCGCCATCGAGCAGCGGCACTTGTGAGGGGTCCAGCCGCACACGGATGCCGCAGGAGGGGTCTCTCGCCTGGCTCGACCGCACCATCTCGCTCAGATGACCGAGTAGGCCAAAACCTGCACACCAACCACACACGGATGTCTATGAACAGGTGTTGTGTTGGTGCTTGGGGGGGTATTTGGTAGGGTGGGTGGGGAGGTGAGGGGGCGTACGCACCGGTGATGTCGGTGCAGGCAGTGGCGTGGTATTTCCTCAAGACATCGGCTGCAGGGCCGTTCGACTGAAGCATCGAGGCCACCGCACCCCGCATCCACCTGAGGTGACCACACACACATCACACACACACAATCCACCTGCACTGCACTGCACGCCACACCTCATTCATCCGACCGACAGACCGACCTGCCTCTGGCCTTGCCCTTCATGTCAGCGGCAAACAGACAGCCCGTCCCAATGGCCTTGGTCAGCATCACCTTGTCACCGCCCCTCATGCCACCTTTGGAGAGCAACCTGCCCTCACCATCACCATCACCCTCAGCAGCTGTGTTGAGCGTGCCGGTGATGGTGAAACCCAAGCACGGCGAAGGCCCGTCGCTCTCGGCCGTGTGGCCGCCCACCAGAGCACAGTTGGCCGATGAGAGGGACTTGCACGCGCCACTCATCAGCTGGAAGAGCTGCTCCTCCAGCTGCATGACACACGGGGGGCATGAGTTTGTGTTTGTGAATAAGGGGGGCGGGTGGGTGCATGTGGGGGGGTATCTTACTTTGTTGTCCGCAGCGAATGGTAGTGAGACCATTGCAAGGGCTGAGAGAGGTTTGGCGCCCATGGCGTAGCAGTCGGACAGGGCGTGTGTGGCGCAGATCTGGCCAAACACATAGGGGTCGTCCATAAACGCCCTGCGCACACACAGCAGAGCATCACAACACATTGCAACTGAGTGATGCCCGCCCCCCTCCCTCACCTGAAAAAGTCGATGGTCTGGACAATGGACGTGCTCGGCGCCTTGGCCGTCGGGTCGTCGGCAGGAATCGTCAGCACCGCCGCATCGTCAGGATCGTCCATGCCAACCACCACCTCGTCTCTCCTGGGCACCTGCCCCTGCAGCCTCTTGAGCACTCGCGTCAGGATGGACGCACCGATCTTTCCGCCGCACCCCGCACACCGCATTGTGGGGTGAGGGGGGAGGGCGAAGGCTACCGAGGCGGAATGGGGGTTGAAGGTGCGCTTGGGGTGTGATGGGGGAGGGGAGATGGCGTCGTCGGCCATCGATGGGAGGTCGGTGAACTTCTGCATGAACGCCCGATCGATGTAGTCCTGACCAACGCATGCAAGTCGTGTCGGAATGCCATGCATGGATGGATGTATCCTGCCTGCATCCACCCTCACCTTCAATGTCCACCAGTAGCCTCCCTCAAAGCAGAAGGCCCCCCGCGACGCCACCGCATACTTGTCCCCAGTGCTGATGAGGCTCAAGAACTCCTTCTGCGGCGTGAAGGGCACCAGCGGCTGACCCAGCAGCGCTCTGCGAAGGTTGGCCGTGAGCGGAGGCCCTTGACGGACCGCAAATACGCCCGCTTTCGGGCGTGGATGGGGCACCACTGACGCAATATCCCCTGACACACATACACACACATCTCATGAGAGGCTGCGTGTGTGTGTGTGTGTGTATGTGTGTTTGCCCACCTGCCGCGAAGACGTTTGGTGTGTTGGTTGACTGAAGGGTGGCATCGACGCGGATGAACCCCTCTGCGTCAAGGTCTAGGCCAGCCGCCGTCAGCCACTGCTGTGCCGACGCGTGTGTGCACCAGATGCACTCGTCGTACTCGAACGTGCGGCCGTCAGCGCATGCGAGTGTGCCGCCCTTGTGGTCGTCGCGGCCCTTGACGTCGACCACATCGCACCCGCACGCCACCTCCACATGCCGGTCGCGCAACACGCGTTGCATCGCACGCTGGCAATCACACAACAACACAACACAACACAACACAACACAGACAGACAGACACATCGCACAACACGCATGTGCTTGTTGTGGCGTGTTCTGGTTCTACCTGCACGCCGCCAGCATGCCCCTGCAGAATGGCCGGGCCCTTGGTAAGTATGGTGAACTTGAGCCTCTCACTGCCGCCAGCTCCCATGCCCTTGAGCCGATGCTGCATCGCCAGGGCCATCTCCACACCAGCGGCCCCGCCGCCCACCACCAGCACCCTCAGAGGAGCGGCCTTGTCGTCTTGTGTATGGTGCATGATTCTCTCCTTGATGAGGCCCCACTTGTGTGAGAGGCGGTCGATGGGCTTGACGGCAGCCAGCCGCGGGGCGTCGGGGAACTTGAGGCTGGGGGTGGACCTGCGGAACACACACACAGGTGAGGAGGTGGTGAGTTGTGGAGATGAGATATGAGTCTGTCTGTGTTGTGTGCACGCACCCGATGTCGATGGAAAGGACGTCGTAGGCCACCGGCGGCCGTCCGTCTTTGCAGACGACCCGACGGTTGGCCGTGTCAAGGCCGCACGCCTCGGTCTGCATATACACACATGTACCACGAATTCTGAACGAACGAGGTGATGTGATCCCTGTGGGCCATTTCCGGCCTAACATGTATGAGTGCGGCCTTTGCGAATCTGCAGAGGCGCTGCAGATCAATGTGGCACTCATCGGCTGTGTAGTGACCAGCAATGTGACCTGCACCACTCACCCACACCCCACACAAGTCACTGAGGCGTACATACAGGAAACAAGATGATGACCGGCCCATGCATGTGCTGACTGACCAGGCAACATGCCGCTGTATGGCGTGTCCACATCTCTGCTGATGAGCGTCACCCGCACCCCGGGGATGGGATCCATCCCGAAGCTCTTGAGCACCTGTACATGGGCATGGCCGCCTCCTACCAACACCTGACAGACACACATGCATTCCTCCATCGATGTGGCTGATCCATCGTGCTTCCTCAAGACTCACCAGATCTTTGACGATCGGATCAGGAGGCTTCATGGCCATCCGTGGCGTCAGTGAAGAGATGCGAAGGCCCAATGCGCAGGGGCAAACGACCACAAGGAGGATGAATGCGACGCCTGCACTGATAATGCTGACAAGGGGTGAGCCGAATTCAGCCACGATGGCCTCCAGATCTTGGCAATGGCCAGCCCGCCAAGCAACAACAGACGCACGAGAAGCCTCCACTTGGACTGCGAGCTTCAAAACCATAGGAGCTATGCTTGCAGAAGGGGAAGGCTGGTGCTTCAGACTCCATCAGCTGCTCAGGCGGAAGGCGGGATCTTCCGGAAAACAGGTGGTTTGAAGCTGCACAGACGGTGCGCCTGATCCAGATCATCAGATCTTGCTCGCCATTCATCGCCTGACCGTCCCAACCGCAGTCCGACAGAAAGCGCACCGCCACCGTCTCAATCAGCACCTCTCTCCTCCATGGAGCTGCTGCCCTCCGAGCTGCAGCAGTTTCGGCAGCGGTCATTCTGGGATCGATTCTTCCTCCGGAGGGGGAGGAAGGCCTTCGAGTGGTATGGAGAGTACCGCGACATCCGCGCCATTCTGCGGGGGCTGGGCGATGAGGGTTCGGGGCCGCATGCGCCGCCCAGCTCGCTGTTCGTGCTGAATGTGGGGTGCGGCAACTCTGAGCTGAGCGGCCAGATGTTTGACGATGGGTAAGACACAGACACAGACACTGCAACGGGTGGCTCAGGGTGAGTGCGCATCTGTTGTGTGTGTCTGTGAGTGTGTTTCTTTTGGTGTCAGGTATCTGAACATATGGAATGTGGACTTCTCAGATCTCGTCCTTAAGGTGAACAAACACACACGCTCCGTGTGTCTGCTCACATCTTATTCCTTCCATCATGCAGGCAATGCGCGCCAAGAGTGTGTCGTCGGCTGGGCTGGAGTGGTGCTGCATGGACATGACTCGAACGGCATTCAGGCAAGGGCTGTTCGACCTGGTCATCGACAAGGGCGCACTCGACGCATTCCTCACTGGTGAAATGGCAGGGCACGCTGCGCTGCAGGACTCATTCTTCTTTGGTATCCATCCACGCACCCATTTCGTGTGGCGACAGGCGAGGGCGTCGATTTGCGTCGGGAGGCGACTCGTTTTCTGGACGAGATGTGGCGGCTGCTGTGTGACGGGGGGCACTACGTGTGCATCACACTGGCGCAGGACTACATCATCAAGGAACTGGTGATGAGACAACAAGCAGACAGGCCTTCATGCTGTCACCATTGCTCTCCTCTCCCGCGTCTCCTCTGCAGGTTCGGTATTTCTTCAGTCGCCGTGTGGGCGTCCGGTGCCATCCCTTCTCGATCTCCGATGCAGCCACCACACACACGTCGTCCGCCAGGCATCAGAGGGGGGACATTCCGTCCGCTGAGCGGCAGGCACGGCTGCAGCCCTTCATGCTGATCTTCCAGAAAATGCCGCAAACAGCATCTGGGTGAGAGAGAATGATAGCAGAGAGGCCGAATGCGGATGTCTGTCGCTGTTCGTTTGCTCAGAAATGATAAGTCGGTAAAGGTTGCCAAGTGCGCCATCTACCCCGAGAGCATGGCGGCGGAGCAGCAGCACCAGAATGGAGAGGGCCCGGCCGGCAAGGATGGACCTGAGAGCGCCATGGAGCCATTGCAAGACACGTCGATATTCGAGCTGCCCAGTGAGTGAGTGAGTGGATGCACGAGTCTCCCCTTCTCTCCTGCCTGCTTATACTGACGTGTGCATGTGGGGGCCTCAGAGCATGTCTTGGAGATCAACAAGCATCGTGTGTGGAAGGAGACCATCGCTACCTACAGGCCGGGACAGTACGAGGTCATCAACCTCATCCCACCACGCACAGCAGCAGCAGGAGGGTCATCCTCATCTTCATCTGCCCCCAACAAGCCCCCGCCGGCCACAGCAGCAGCGGCACGGCAGTCTGACGGCGGTGGTGGCGAGGTGTATGACATCTCTGCCAAGTACCACATAGCTGTGTTCGACAACCCCCAGCACTCGATGAAGAGAAAGAACACGTCGGCCGTCATCATTGTGCCACGGGTACCCAGGCCGGCCGGCCACGTATGGATGGGTCATGCCATGTCATGCATGTTGTCTGTCTGTTGTGTGAATCCCTCACATCAGGGTCGCGAGAATGAGTGGATGTTTTCGACACCAGAGGGCAGCCAGGAGGTCAGTCACACAGCCAGCCCAGCCAGGCAAGGCAAACAACCCACAATATATACGGCACGGCCAGCAGAGGAGCTTAGCTGTGTCTATCTCTTTGCGTGTGCGTGTGCGTGTTGTGGTGCAGTTGGCCTCTCAAGTTTACGTCAAGCGGCTTCTTGTCACCACCTTCGGTGGGTAGGCAACCGACCAGCCAATCCATCGCTCACAGACGGATACCTTAGACGTACGCGTCATGTCATGTGTGTGTCCATGCCTGGCTGACAGGGATGTGTGACTCGTCCCACCACACCCCCTCCATGGACGACGTCAAGGCCGAGCTGCAGCCCTTCTTCAGAGAGCTCGTCCTCCCGTCCACATCAGTACGCCCGCACCACACAACACACAGAACACACACACACACACACACAGAGACAAAATATCCAATTGTCCGCTTGGTCAGGAGGAGGCCCCCAAGATCATGACTCTAGGCAGCGAGACCGACACCTCCACACCCGTGGCAGAGGTGATGTCCAAGCACGCCGGACGCATCTTGGTCCGTGACGTGCGCATCGAGCCCGAGGGCACAAAGCGATATCGCAGCCGCAGAGAGGCCAACGCGGCGCAGCCAGCAATGAGCTGGAAGTCCTTTGCCAGACAGGTAGATTAAGGAGGAGTAGAGAAGTAGCCATAGCATTTTGTCCTACCTACCTGTGTGTGTTGTGTGTGCAGATGGTGTTTGCCTGCAATCCTGGCACGGTGCAGTCGGAGGTGCTATATGAGGTCTGGACCAAGACGGACGATGAACCATCCGCACGGCGGACCTCACCGAAACGAAGGTACGTGACAGCACCACACACACATGCGCTGGTCTGGTGCACCGATCACTGGCTGCTTGGCTGCAGGGGTGGCCGCGGCTCGCGCAAGAAGAAGTCGTCACAGCCACAGCCACAGCCGTCCGAGGAGCCACAGGTTGACGACGCCACAACCGATGCCCCCCAGCCGTTCCGGTTCAACTTCCTCCACCCCACCTGCAGGTACCACGAGGCCATCATAGTGGGCCTGGCCTGCCTCCCGCCCTCATGGCTGCTGGAACTCAACGCATCGCCGGCCAGCTCCCCTTCGTCGCTGCTCGACGACCCCACGGCGCCCTCATCTGCCTTCACGGCCAACGAGCAGCCCAGGCTGCGTGTGACCATACTCGGCCTGGGTGCTGGCATCCTGGCGTCGACTCTGTCTGCCTTGTGCTCGTATTGGGGATGGGGTGTGCACATTATCGGCGTCGACAACGACGAGAAAGTCCTGCAGATGGCCAAACAGGTCAGTCTGCCGTTACTTTTACACACACACGTCCTCACACATGTGCCTCACTGCTTACTTTTCGTGTGTGCAGCATTTCGGCTTTGAGGGCATGCCGATGAAGTCGCCCGAAGAGAACATTGCTGAGGCCTCCCACCTGGCGAGCCAGACGGTGCAGGCCGTCATGCAGAAGGTCCTCACCAAAGACACAGACGGCCACACCAACACCGGCAATGACTCTGCTGCCGAACCAGCCGAGGCCGCAGCAGCCCAAGAGAAGCCGGCAGATCCACCGGCACCGGCCAACAGAGTGGAATATATGATCGGCGATGCTTTGGCGATGGTATCGACCTCCGAGCTGAGCCGCGTGTGCCCCGCACTGCAGCACATCATCATAGTGGACATCAACACCAACCAGCCAGACAGCCACCTCACATGCCCACCCAGCGAGGTCCTGCAGCCGGTCTTCCTGCAGCAGCTCGCGAGCCGCCTGCTCCCCGGTGGCCTGCTCGCCATCAACCTAGTCACCCGATCGGTCACGGCACGGCAGAACGCCCACCGCTCCCTTTGTGCCGTTTTCCCCCACGTGGTGCAGTTCCGGGTGCCAGAGGACATCAACGAGGTGCTGCTGTGCCAGACAGACCATCAGGGGAGCGAGGGACCATCTGCTGCATCACCCCAGAGGCGGAAGGGCAGCAGGAAGGGTGTGGGGAGTGAGGGCGACGACATTCGCGTGACGAGTGGTGATGCGCTGTACAATCGGATGAAACTCCTGCTGCCCAAACGGAGGGCGGGGCCGACGGTGGCAGCGGGGGAAGAGGGAGAGGGAGGGGGTGACAATGATGGTGCGGCCGCTGAAGAGGACGTGTGTATCGATTGGCTGGATGCATCGGTGTGGCGGGGTCGATTTCGTGTCTTGTCGTGTGGTGACAATGAAGAGCTGGGATCGTGACTGAGGAGCTGTTGGAAAGACGGATGGATGGTAACACGATGCGTAAGCAGCCGTGTGACCTTCATTTGATGCGACTAAGTCTCCCATGATCATAAAGCAGCTTGCCCCAGCACACACACGAACATCCACAAAAGCGCTCAGATTTCCCTCCACCCGCCACAAATATACACTGTTGCCACACATGCAGCAGAACGCCCAGCGCATGCAAAGCAACGACATCAATCAAAGAGCCACAGCAGTCAAGTTGAGGACGCACTAATGACGTCTACCTGCCTGCATCAGCACCATGCATCGAGGAAAAAAAGGGACACACGCACCGCACCCGACACATCTATCTAGTACACGCAGTAGTTGCCAACGTATGTACAAAACTTCAGCAAGAGGCCCAAAAACACGGCCGCTCAAAAACACGGCCGCCTCTGCTGTGTGTTGTGGTTGTCTATCTATGCGCCTCGCTGTCTGGTGAGGCTGTCTGCCGAAGGAGCCGACGCGCTCAGGGTCATCATGGCCTTGATCAGCTCGTCCTTCTTCCTGCAATACACACACACAGTACATCCTCCACGCCGTGTGTGGCAGATCCTCTTGACGGCCGCTGCTGCTGACCAGCTCGTCAGTTCGTATGCCTGTCGCTTCGAGTGCTCCATCTCCATGCACTCGTCAACCAAACTGTCGTCCCTGGACAGAACAGATGAGCACCAAACATATGGACAGAGACACTCAAGTGAGCCACACTCTGGTATGTATCTAGTCACACCTGAATGCGACGAGCATGTCGGTGAGGAAGGTGTCACGCAGATCGGCATACAGGAACCGATGCACCTGCGACCAACCAGCACAATACAAGCCATCAAAGCATCACAAATCCACACACGCCAACAAAGAATAAAGCATCACTCACCATGAGGGCCACGTCGTCGGCCACACGGTCGAGCATCGTGGTCACGTAGAAGTGTAGCGACACCTGAATTGTCACGGCACTCTGGTACTTGCGGCCCATGTTCCACCACTCATTCAGCTGATTGAAGAGGATGGGCTGGTTGGATTGCTTGTAGACCTTCATCGACATCTTCCGCCCGATCCTGGTGTTGGTCCAGAAGTGGTTGTCCGACAGCACACCAGCCAGGCCCTTCTGGACCATCTGCAGCGGGCAAGGGCGACCCATCAGGCAAAGAGGGGCTCGTCTGCGCAGCCTTAGAAGATCCTACCTCGCTGTAGACTTGGTTGGCAGTAAAGACGGCCCCCTGGCTGCGGATGAGCGATCCGATGGCGGACAGCACCTCCTGCTTCTTGCTGTCTAGCAGCGACGCTATCTTGCCCTGCACACACACACACACACACACAGACAGACAGACAGACACGCACTTCTCCATGCCCATAAGAAGGCACGCTGCGTTCACCTGGAGTGCATCGACGAATGAAGGGAACGCATCAGCAACGCTTTCGACAAGAATGTCCAACTCAGACTGACACGAAAGCGCATACTTACTGGTTGCCATTATCTCCCTCCCGAGTGTGGATGCTGCTGGCCCACCTTGATGAATCCGCAGGCGTGTTCCGCGAGGATGCGCGAGTAGTGTTCGACCTGCAGCTTGCGCTCGAAAGCGTCCACATACATCTCCTGGAACACATCTGGATGCGGCAGCTCGGGCGGCGCATCGAACCCACAACAACGCTCCAGACGGTCAAGCACCTGGCCGCAACGTGTCCGTGGCTGTGTCTATATGGGATGTGCCTCTGTTTGTACGTACCTGTTTGTAAATGTCTTCTGTGAAGAAGTTGATGTCGATATTCTTCATTCTTTTTGCGTAGTCCTCAAGACGCTCACGAAGGCCATACTGAATCGAGTCGCGGTCATCTCCATCACTCAGCCGGATAGAACCTCGCTGGACAACAAACATCACAAGGCAGATCTGATGAGTCCGGTGGTGCGGACGTGTGGGAGTCAGGTGTCTGACCTGCTTGAGGAGCTGGTCGAGCTCGATGAGGATGTCGTTCATGCAGCGGTTCTTGTCCTTGATGTCAACACACGGAGGCCGCAGCGTGGCCAGCTTAGCAGTCACCGACTCAATCTCTGATTGACGATACACACACACCCGACACAGGAGCCGCTGTGGTCCCCTCATCATCCGCCCTGGTGTGCTTAACTTACTCTCGGTGAGTTTCCCCTTGATGTCCTTCATGAACTCGTCCACGTAGACGACCTGTATGTCGGTGATGCGCTTGACGAGCGTCGTGATGCCCCACTCTTCACTGAGCAGCTTGCACAGGTCCGGATGCCGCTCGAAGAAGGCCGCCTCCTCTTGCTCAGCGTCAATGTCCAGGACGATCTGCGCACACAATTGTCCATGCATGACACCGTGTATCGTCTGCCGTACCTCATCTGGCTTTCTGTTGCGGAGGGCGATGCACTTGAGCTTCTTGCCGCCGATCTCGTCCTGGCCTTGCTTGATGGACTTGAGGAAATGACGACCCTCCTCGCCGGGCTCGATCTTGTCGGTTTTGGTGACGACCACAATGGTCCTATGGCGCTCCGGGTCAACGTCCTTGGCCAACTTGATGGCCTGAAGACAACACAAAGTGTGCAGCTACCCTTATGGGTGCACGTGTGCCTGCCCGACGCACCTCTGATGTGGACAGGAAGTCGCCGCCCGCCGGCACGACACAGAGGATGACTGTCTTCTCCTTCTCGATGTACTCGTTGACCATCGCCACGACCTCGGCGTGGATGTTTTCGTCGCCCTTCTTGTTGTACAGCAGGCCAGGAAGATCGGTGACGGTGAGAGTCGGCACATTCTTGCCACGGATCCGCACCTACGCACACACACCGCACAGCAGAGATGGACGAAGACAAGACCAACAGAGCTGCTGCCCGCTGCACTGGGTTACGTAGATGGGCCGGTTGACGATGGCGCTGCCCTCTTGCCGGACGAGGTCGTCCGTCAGCTCGGTGATCTTGTTCCCGATGTCCTTGATGTCGTTCAACTCCTCAGCGTCGGTGATGTCCTCCTTGAGTGACACCCACACGCTGACCCCGTCGGCAGATGCGTCGGTCTCGCCCATCAGAATCGTCGGCGTCTTGGTGCAGGTCCTGTGCGGTCACACAGATAGAAGAAGGCCAGCAAGTGCACAGGCCACCCATCTGTGCAGTGCAGTGCACTGCAGTGGTCACCCCTGTGCTCGCGGGAAGGGCACCCCCATGATGCGCTCCAACACCGACGACTTGCCCGCAGACTGATCACCTGCCGTGAGTAAGAAGTGACACACAGACGCACACAACACCGAGCCGTGACCTGTTGTTATCCTCCCATCTTCCACCTTGCAGCCTCCCTACCGCATACGACAACACCGGGCACCTCGATGCCTTCACTCTCCAGCACCCCGCGGACCTCCTCGATGGCATCCAGTCGTGTCTGCAATGTGCGCTTGCAGTGAGCGTCAGTGGAGCAGACTTCGTAGTACGCCATGGATGAAGATAGCTGAGTGGAAACGAGTGAAGGGGGGCGGCGGGTGCAGAGGCGAGAGGGGGATCAGAGCACAGCAACAGCTGACTGGCGTGAAGCGAGGAAGGCACGAGAGCAACAGATCTTGCTTGTCGAAAGCTCTGAGCTGGAAATATGGCTGCGTCTGATCGCTGTCAGCTGACGTCCAGTGACGTCACGCGCCAAGCAGGAATTCGCAGGTCAAGCTCGCAACAGAAGGATCGAATTCATTGCATAACTGTCCCAGTGAAATTAACGGTTGTCAAGATGCGTGCAGTGTATCCTGCAGCTTCCTGCCACTCGGTTCCCTTGTTCAGCAGCTTATGCGATTCGTGCAGCGGTCTCTGCCAGCCACCCTTATGCACCTTGCCCACTACAGTCTGTTGTGCTTTATCTACTTACACGCAGCCGTGCATTCGTCTCTCTGAGACCATCTCCTCCCCACCGTCCCCAGCCCTTCACACACACGGTATGGCAGAAAGAAAAGGCAATCCGAAGGCTAAGGCTTCGGCGAGACGACTTAGCCGCGAGCAATTCACAGTCATATCAAAAGACAACATCGATGCAGTTAACCCCACTCACGACAGACTCAGCTGCCGAGGTGTGTCTTGGCCTCACTGCAGCAACGGGAAAAATCCCGTCAGCTGCAGTCCATGTCATTCAGCGGCGGGAGGCCAAATGGGGCTGCGTGTGGGTCGAAGAGGGACGGTGGTGGGGGTAGGTTCGGCAGCATCGCGGCGTCTGGCTGCAGCCCCATCGGCTCGGGATCGTCACACTGCATGGAGTGGGCGTCGTGCTGGTACCCTTCGGACGCACTCCGCCACACACCTGAAAACACACACAAGGGCAATGGCACATGCAGATGGCTGTCGCGTGTGTGTCTTATTGTGGGCCGCTCACTCCGTTCGAAGTCGTCCTCAGCGCTGTTGCGTCCCCCCTGGTGCAGCCCCATTCCCTCTATCCCCAGGAACCCCTCCCTCTTGAGCTCTTCCATGACGGCACGAGCACCCTCAACCATGCCCGGAGGCATCCCCGACGTCCCTCCTACCCACGGCCGGAAAGCCCTGCGCTGCATGGGCATCATGCTCCGCGCATTCGCCATCTTCGGTGTGGGCTCATTGCTCGACTCGGACGAGAGGTCGAGCCTCGGCGGCTTGGAGTCCATCTCCTCACCCATTGGGCCGTGGGTTGCGATGTGGGGGGCCGGGTGGGGCCAGTGGGAGGGAGGAGGGATGTTCAGGACGCCCAAAGGCACTGGAGGCGGCCTCATCATCTCGGCCTTGACGCGCGACGGGTCCGCATACGACGGGGCCGACGCAGATGGGGAGAAGAGATACCGGTCAGGAGGCACGCACGCCGGCTGCTCGTCTGGGACGAATCGGTCGCCCTCCTCGCTACAGCCTTCGGAGTCCGAGTTGTCCCGCACACCCAGCGGAATGGCCCCGTGCAGCACCTTGCACCCATACGCCAGCCGGACGTCGTAGTCTGCCGCGGGCAGGGCGGGGATCTGCACGCTCAGCTTGCGCTCCTTACGGATGCCCTTGGGTCTGAGGGAGGGCGACATGACAGAGAAAGTCGCATCATTAGAATGGTGGGTGTTTTGTCAGGCTAGTTCACCTGAGTGTGACGACTTGTCCGTTGGTGGAGACGAGGTGGATGAGCACCTGGTCATACGCGTCGGGCTTGATGTCCTTCTTCACACATATCACTACCTCGCCCTGACACACACACACATATGCACACAGACAGAAGACGTGAAGAGAGAAAAGAACACCGGTGTGTCTTGTCTTCTGCTCACCCCAGATGGGTTGATGGTTCCTGGGTTGATGTACAGGAGTCGCTGCCGTGACGGCGCTCCGTCGGGCTGAGGGTGGCCGCCGGAATTCGTAGATCCCGACGGCTGAAGCAAGGACACAACATGCATATGGGTCTCGGGGGCCGTGCGTGTCTCAATGACGGACCACAGTGCTTGCGTTGTTGGATATGGATCCGATAGACGACAACTGGCTAGACACCGACAAACCTCGGTCACAAGGACACCCGGCAAGACCTGCAGATGATAAGATGTGCACACGCGTCACACACGTGCATACACAGATGGGATGAGTTTCTCGGCGTCTTTCTCACGTTTGCTAGGTCCCGCCTCATGTTCGCCCTTGATGTCCCCCTCCTGCAGCCCTCCCACGCCCACTCCCCATCCCATGTGCGATGGCGGACCCGGAACGGCCGCGTACGGCCCCTGCTGGTGCTGGTGTGGGTATGACGGTGACTCGTGGCTGGGGCTAGACGACGCAGGCGAGTCAGGGGGGGCAGGGGCCGGGCCGGGCTGGAGTGTGGTGTTAACCGGGGCCGATTGGAGCGGCCGGGGAGGGTTGGTGCTCAGGATGGCGGTCTGGAGGAACACACTGCGAGGCGGCAGCTGAGAGAAGGAGCAGACAAAGAAGAAGAGGATGGATGGATGGATGGAGGGGATTATCAGCGTCTCTTTCCGTCTGTCGGCTTACATGTTCGTCGCAGACGGGGCAGGACATGTCGTCTGTAGGCCGCACGATGCTGCTGCACTCGGGGCAGGGGAGGAGCAACATGTACGCCTGGTGGCCCCCCTCGAAGTCCCTCAGGAAACTCTCGGCCGTCACCAGCAGCAGACGCACATGGTTGCTCTGAGCCGACTCGGCCCACATCAGCGCAGCTACACACACACATTAATCAATGCAATGCATACCTCGTCTTGCCCATGTGTGTTGTCCCTCCCATCCATGGCCGACCTTCCCTGTAGAATTCCTCCAGAGGGAAGTTGGCACAGTCTGTGTGCCTGAGTGCGCCGCGGATGACGGAGTGCAGTCCGGGGTGGCCCTCCACCTGGCTCCTGCAGACGCCCCACATCCTCTCGCAGCTACACTTGAGCAACGTTCCCCCGCCACACAGACTACGCGCCACCTTCACGTAACCCTGGCTCTTCCCCAAACCGTGGAAGTGCTGCAAACCTGCACCACAGAAGATGCATGCATCCGCTCCGCCGCAGGTTCACACGCGTCCTCTTCCCTCCTTCTTCCCTTCTCGTGCTGGTACGCTTACATCCGTCCGCATCAACGAAGACCTTCTGGATGCGGGGGTTGAAGAACTGCGGGACGCCCCGCCTCTTGTATTGCCTCTTCTCGTCAAGCCCCTTGGCGGCCTTACTGTTGTTCTTCTTTTTCTTCCTCCCGGCTGTGGCTGTCGACTCCTGTGCGAAGAATGCGATGTCAGGCGGTGCTAGACTGGCCTGAGGGGCCACGGCAGAGGAGTGGTACGGGTGTCCCGACTCTGCGGGAGCAGTGGACGAGTGGAATGACATGGGCGAGGGCTCTACGGCAGAAGGGGTCGGGGGCTCGGCAAAGGTGCAGTGCAACGGGCCGTCAAATCACGTTCCAGACCATAAGGAAGAACCACGCTGCATTGCGTTGCAGGGTTTAGGGTTTAGGGTTTCCGGCATCCGTGCGGACACAAGGGACGAGAAAAACAGAACAAGGAGGAAAGGACGACACGAACCAGCCACGTAGCCTGAGGATGGCTGATTGGAAGATCTTTTGAGCTGATCTTCCCGATTCCTTCGACAAAGATCCGCCTCACCTCGTAGCTCTCACCTGCTCTCAGCTATCCATCCATCGCCTGTCCACTATTCCGTCATGGCAGGCCACATTCCCGTGGACAGAGCTCGCGAGGCCGCCCAGGACAGCACCCGGCTCCGCCCTTCATCCACCACACTTCCAGACCGACAGCCAAGGCTCAACGGCGTCACACACAACAAACCGGCGGATGAGCCACCCATCCCCACCCTCAATGGCGACGACACACACCAGCCGAGCTACAGACGGCCGCTGCCTAGCATGCCGAACACGATTGCAGGCCCATCGGGACCATCCCCCGCTGGTATAGGAAACTGGGATGTGGAGCGGGGCGGCAGGGGCAGGTGGGAGGGGCGGTCGGCGGCTGACGGCTGGACCGGTCATGTGGGCGGCGTAGAGGGGCGTGGAAGGGAGAAGGATGCATCGCGGGGGAAGGAGCAGGTCTTCCACGAGCACCTCTTCTATCGCACAAAGGTAGGTGGGCCAGCCATCAATATAATATAATGGGTGGACGGACGCTAAGCGCCAATCATTCAGTCTGTTCGCCGCTGTTCTGTTGGTGTTGCAGATCGGCATCCGGTCATGCAGCGAGCCACAGCCGTATCTCGCGGCCACACCCGACGCAGGCAGTCTGAGCGGGCAGACAGACAGCAGCAGCCGGCCGCCGTCCTACTGTGTGGACCTGAGCGGCACCCATCCCTCCCCCCGTCTGTTTGACCCTCCCGGGGAGTCGCCCACCCCGCCATCCGAGTTTGTCATACTCAACTTCGACGACAGGTGCAGTGCAGTAAAGATATTGGCAGATGTGTGTGTGTGTGTGTGTGTTGGTGCGTGAGTGTGAGTGGGGGTCTGGTCTGTGTGTGCAGGAAGTATGCCAAGACGGTTCGTTTCCTGGACACGGTAGCCCTGCAGAGGCAGCCCAGCCCTGGTCGGTGCACCAGCAGGAGAAACCATGTTGATACAAAGGCGTAGCGGATGGTCTTCTGTCCTTGTGCAGGTACGTGTGAGTGTGCGGGTTTGCTGTCGGTGACGGCTCAGTCGACAGTCACCATCGAAACACTAAAATCGCACGACGCTACAGGCGCGTATACTCACTCAGTCCACGGAAGCAACAATACCGGCCGGCCGATAGACGGACGGACGACGAGCGTGTGTGCGTGCGTCTTCAATATCAGGTTCTGAATTGTGTCGTTGGACAGTAGTAAATCCCGACGACCCAGCCGACGATCGGTCCGACGTCAGACTCAACCAACCAGGCACACACACACACACACACATTCACTGGATACTGACGGAGAGGATGTGTGGACAACTTGTGTGTGTGTGTGTGTTTGTGTGTGTGTGTGTGTGTGTTGTCAGTGCTGCTGCGGTCCAAGTTCGGGCAGTATCTGACCACCATGGCCACACCCGCACTCACAGTACGGACGGGGGGCGCATTTATAGACCTTCACACACACCACACTGTGGGCGTGTTGTGTGCTCTCTTGTGCAGGAGCTCCCGCTGCCCACTGAGGTGCCCCGCGGCTCCACCAAATCGCAAACCACCTGTGTGCGGGCCGACGGAAGTACGTGTGAGGAAACCAATAGCCATAGCTGAATGGCCGTAAGTGCTTCCTTGTGTGTGTGTGCAGCGTCGGGTACATCGCGTGCTCAGTGGCGTTTGCTGAAGGCTGACGTGCCGCCGGCTCCCGAGTGGCTGATGAAGCGACCCGCACTCGTACATTCGGCCAGAGGTACACTACACACTGGCGCAGTACACACAGCTTAGCTTATGTGATATCCATCCCCCCAACAAGGTGAAGAGGAGAGGCGACAGCGAGCAGCACTCGGTAGGATGGTGATATATGCACTCACTGCCTGGAGGACAGACACGCACAGTATCCACGTGGCTGGCCGAGTGTGTGCTTGTCTTGTCAGAGTCGAATGCGCGGACGCCGGCCAACGTGCAGCTGTCGCAGCTATCGGTACGTACGCACAGACACGCAACACTGGCTGCATGCGCATATCACACACCTGCCCTGTGTGTCTGTGTGATGTGATGTGTGGATCGATCAGTTAGAGGAGCAGGAGGCCGTGTTGCTGGAGGACATACTGTTCGTCCTCATGGGCCGTCAGGGCACCTACATCCAGGCATCTGACAGACGCATCTGTACGTGTGTGCGCGTGTGTGTGTGTGTGTGTGTGTGTGTGCTCGGACGGCACACACACACACACACACACACAGAGAGAGAGAGAGGGGGTGCTCACACACCTGACCTGCACACATTCTGGACATCTGGATGTGTCAGCTCCCTACGACCTGCCCATCTACGACTTCAGAATCGACACCAACCTCAAGGGTGACCCTGCTGCCGACCCGTCGCTCGTCCGGGTATGGGATGTGATGCATGTGATGAATGGATGCACTCATTGACGTACGGACAGAGAGAAATGGGAATCATATCATGTGTGTCGCGTCGCATGTGTGGCGAGGCGAGCTGCAGATGGTGGAGAATGTGACGAACCTCTGCACCTTCCACCGCTCTGTGTGTGCCTTCGTGGAAACCCACTGGCGGCATGACTACGGGTGGGCAGCAACAGCACCACAACACCCAGGAGGCAGCGACCGACACCACCCCGCCCTCTCCTGTGAGTATTTATTTACTTTTGTGTCGCTTCCCGTCCTCTGTTGGTCAGGTTGGTGTCACAGGCCCTCTGCGCAGCCATGCAGACGCTCCTGGGGGAGTACCAGGTCGGGCCTTTGGTGCAGTGCAGCACATTCCACACACTCACGGGTGCATTTGTTCGTATGTGTGTGGACGCGTGGACGTCCCGTCCACCATGTCCGTCCAATGGTGCAGGTGTTTGTGTCCCAGTTGGAGACGGAGTTGCGTCGCGGCACGCTTCGGATATCCAAGCTGTGGTTCCTCATGCAGCCAGCACGCGAGACCATGCAGATGCTACACTGCGTCGCCAAACGAAACTACAGGTCGGGGGGTGGGGGGGTGTTGTCCGACACACCAGTGAGTATACACACACGCACTTATCCATCTCTTGTCTTGTTTGTTGTGCTTAGGCGCAAGGGTGGCGATTTGCTTAGCGGCATACGTAGCGTCACATTCGAGACCAGCAGGTCACACCACACGCATCGCATACACACATGCAATGCACAATCCAGGCAGACACACAACATACACACACCACACCGTTTCTGTCTGTCTGTCTGTCTGGATTGTGCATTGCATGTGTGTATGTCAGTGCCCCGAATTCGCGCAAGTTGGGTGAGTTTCTGCTGACGAGGGCGTCAGAGCCGCTGTTCGACATGCTCACCAAATGGCTATACCACGTATAGTACAGCCGCCCCACCCCACCACGCCTCACCACACCACACATCCAACCCGTGTGCGTGATGCCATCCACCAGGGTTGTCTGGACGACCCGTACGATGAGTTCTTTATCATGTCCGATCCCTCCCTCATGCCAATCGACACTGAGGGCGGCACCGGCGACCGCTACTGGGAACGCAAATTCGTCCTAGACGACACAAGAGTTCCCGTCTTCCTGGAGGAGACCAAGAAAAAGGTCAGCTCAGCCGGCAGCACAGCAGGTGGCGGCCAACATCCGTCCGTCCAACACTGTGGAGTGAATGCCTCACGATGTGTGTGTGCAGATTTTGGAGACGGGCAAGTATCTGAACGTGCTGCTGTCGTGCCAGGGGGGCAGCGAGGCGGCCGCACTCAAGTCGAGAGAGACCCCCAAGATCAAGTACACAAACCAATTCGCGTAAGTAAGAGCTGGCTGGCGAAAAAAAGACGCGCCATCATGCCGTCAGTCCGTATACGTACGTCCATGAGTGTTGGTTGTGCTGTGCTGTGTGTTGATTGCAATGAATGCAATGCAGAACGTACACTGAGTTGGTAGAGGCTGCGTACGAGTGGGCTTCGATGAGTCTGGTAGAGTTTTGTTGGCGGCAGCTGGACCTCAAGGGCCGCCTACTGTCTGTCAAGCACTTCTTCCTACTCGACAAGTAAGACACACAAACACGACATGGATAGGATGCACTCAGCCGTTTGCCTGCATGTGATGTGTGGTGTGTGCGGTGCGTGTGTGTTGTGTGGTTTGGTTTGCAGGGCCGATTTCTTCTACCAGTTCCTGGAGGCGGCCAATGATGTACTTACGTCATTCATCGATTCCTTGACACCTTGACTGACATGTGTGGCGCTGCGCGTCACTTGGTCGTGTTTATAATCATGTGCAGGAGTTGGAGAAGAGCGTGTCGTGTGTGGCGCTGAGCAAGCTGGAGTCCCTGCTGGACCTCGCCATACGCACCTCATCCACTGCCAACGGTAAGGTCGGTACAAGCATACACACACATCATGTCATGTGCACACGTGTGCACGTGTCGTGTTTGGATGCCACGCCTCTCCGGTTCTCTCTCCGTTCGTTCCATCAGACCCCTACCGTGACAGCATCACCTGCACCCTCCGACCATACATGTACCTGGTATGTACTCAAACGCACCACACCACGCCCAGCCCACGGGCACCCTACCCGTGTCTGCCTATGCATGTTCGTCTCTCTCCCTCTGTCCGCCAGAATGCCTGCAACTACCTGGCCTCTTCAGACAAGGGCAAGCACCCCACCGCCCTGCAGCCATCAGTGGCGGACCCTCCCGTCGCACCCCCTCCAGCACCAGCACCAGTCCCACCAGCAGCAGCCCCCAAGCCTCTGCCGGCCTTCCTGTTCTCAGACACAGTGCCGGCCACGTCGAGCACAGCCATTCCCGACCCCAAGCAGCAGGCGCCATCGTACGGCTTCCACGCATTCTCCATCAGATACACGGCGGAATGGCCACTCAACCTGGTGGGTGCGTAGGTAGGTAGAGGCAGGAGAGGGAGGGGATGGTGGATGTGGTTGCATGTTATGGGTGGTTGGCTGCAGTTGTTTACTCGAGTGTCGATGCTCAAGTACGAGCTAATATTTCGGCACCTGCTCTTCTGCAAATTCGTCGAGAGAAAATTGTGCGACGTCTGGCAGGTATGGTTCATCTGATGATGCACTCGACGCACCGTCGATGGCCAGGTTGGTGTGGTGTGGTGTGGTGTGTGTGGCTTGGCTTCTTGTTCGTTCAGGATCACCAGCACACGAAGGAGCTGAACCTGCACAACGCGCTGCTCAACTCGTACTTCACCCGGCAGCGAATGCTGCACTTCTGCCGCAACTACGTCTACTACTTCACCGTAGAAGTACTGGAACCACAGTGGCACCAGGTAGGTTAGGTGACTCACTCACGCCCACACAGAGAGAGATCCATTCAATAGCACCAGCCCTCTGTGTCTGTGTATGTGTGTGTGTGTTTATGTGTGTGTGTATATGTGTGTGTGTGTGTGTGTGCGCGCGCGCGCGCTCAGTTCATGAGTGAGCTTCAGACTGTGCGTTCGTTCGACGAGGTGCTGGAGCGACACGAACGGTTCCTGGACAACTGCCTCAAGGAATCGCTTCTCACAGAGGTATGTAGGAAGGCAGGCAGCAGAGGCAACCCCCGACTTGACCACATGCACGTCTGCTTCGTTCTTTATCTCTGTGTGTGTCATCACCTGAAGGCGTCAGTGTTGGTCAAGTCGTTGTCCAAGATCCTGACCTCATGTTCACTCTTCGCACAGAACTTGTGGCGCTTCAGGTGGGTGGTGCAAGCACTGCAAGGGGCGGACACACAATCCACCCATATATGTCATGCATGTGTCCTCCCTCGCTGTGCGTCTGCATCGACTGCACTGCCACTCCACTGCCAGCACCAAGTTCAGAGGATCCGACACCGGCCCCAAGGTAGCAGCATGTGCATCACACATCCATCATTGCCACGTGTGAAGTGGAGTGGCGTGTGTCTGTCTGTCAGGGGTCTCTGGCCGGTGAGGATGGTGTGCTGGGCGGCAACTCGTGGGAGCGGCGGACCGCCCGGATGCAGCTGCGGGGTGAGAACCTCTCCAAGATGATGTCGGAGAAGAAATACTTCAGGCACGTCTATCATACACAGCACACAGGCAAACAAGATGGGATCATCATTGTGTTGTGTTGCTTGCCCGGCCTTGTCTGTTCCTCCCTCTCAGGATGGTTCAGAAGTTCGAGAAGACCTTCGACAAACACCTGAGAGACTTCCTGCAACACCTCGTCACACACAGGTAAGTACGCAAACCCACACACCACACCCTACACACACCCCCTGCTCCCTCTTGCACTGACTGCACCTTCCTCTCCTTCCCTACCTGTTGGTTCAATCAGCCGTAGCAAGTACGAGCACCACCTGGTGAACCTGCTGACCCGCATAGACTTCAACAGCTTCTACTCGTCCTACTTCAACATGCACATCTCGGCGCCCATGGGCCTCTTGGCGATAAGCACACACGGAGGGGCAGGAGACGCCATGGTGAATGCTGGGCCGCTGTGGGGGCGGCACCACATGCCGCCCGCCAAGCTGACGGCCATTGACGAGGGCATTGAGAGGGAGGGGGGCACACACAATGGTGCTCCACTGGAGCAGCAGGAGGGTGATGACGATTGAGTAGCGATATGTCCATGTGTGGTGTCTATGAATGAATGTGTCTATGTACATATCATATGTATGTGTGTACGTTGGTGCGGTGCATATGTTATGTGTGTCTAGAAGACGTACAGTACAGTTACCGTGGTGGCTGTCTGTCTGGCTGTCGACTCACTCGGTCACTCAATCCATCTATTTTGTGCTGTGCAGACATACAATACAAACACACACAGAGCCCTCTCCCTCAATCAATCACACCACACACATGCACAGCCACGCAAAACAGCACAGCACACGAGACCCATTCATTCATTCACTCTGCCGAGGTCTTTGCCAGCGGCAGGGGCATGTCCATCGGCAGCTGCCACGAGGCAGCGTCGGGGCCAGTGTACACCGCAGAACACACACTCTCACCCTCGCCCTCACCCTCACCCTCATCAACCCCCACGAAGTCATCCGCCTCCCCCTCCGCTTCTCCCTCTCCCCCGTCCCTCCCCCGCCTGTCTGCCGTGCCCTTCCGCTTGCGCACCACTCTCTTGGCCTTGTGCACACCCACATTGTTATCGGCCGAGCTCCTCTTTCGCTTGGGCGCGTCAGCCTTCTTTCTTCTTTTGACTTTGGTGGTCTTGGTGTTGAGGCTGCCTGTGGTGGCCCGCCGGGTCAGCCGGGAGGCGAACTGTTTGGCTGGTTGTTGGTTGGGTGAGCGAGGGGGGGGGTGGGGATGGGGATGGGTGCCACTAGCGCCACGATTGACTTTCTTCCTGCCGAGGTGTGGGCTGTGGCGCGGGGACGCAGCAGCAGGAGGGGGCGGTCTGGGGCTCTTCACTTTGTCAGTAGGGCTGGCTCTGTCCTGTGTCTCTGCCAGCTCGGCTCTACTATCGTCCTTCGTCGGCTGTTCCGTGAACTCCTGCTGCTGCTGCTGCTGCCGCTGCTGCGGTGTCTCGTCCATGGGTTTCTCTGCGTCAGGTTTGTGCGGCTCTTCAGCAGCAGTGCCGTACACGATCCTCTCGGCAGCCTTGTCTTCCGCTGATGCCTCCTCCTCCTTCTTGTCGTTGTCCGTCTCGCCCTCCGGTGCAGCCTCCTTCCTCTTCTGATTCATTGCGTCATGATGCCGCCGTCTGGTGGTGCTTTTGTTGAGCGGGCTGGCCATCACTGCGGCAGTGGAGTTGGACCGCCTTATCCTCGTGTCTACCTCCTTCCTCTTGTCATGCTTCGCGTCCTTCGGTGGCCTGGTGGTCGCGGGCTTGCTCGCGGCAGCAGCGTGCTTGGCAGCAGTGGCCGATTTGGGCAGCTTCAGAGGGGCCATCACGCCTGCAGCTCCAGTATTGTTGCTGCAGGTGGTTGTGGCGTTGGTGTCCGGTGTGGTGGTACGGTACATGACGTAGGTGTGGTGCGCCCCTGGGGGGCTGGTGGCGGCCCGTGCGATCCGTGTGAGGTCGGTGAGGTTGGAGACGGTGGATGAGGCGACCAGGCGGGGAGCGACCCTCTGGTAGTAGGCTGCCATGTGGTCCGTGGATGACGGCTTGCGGAGCTTGAACAAGGTCGACTGAATGAGGGAAGGGTTCAAGCAAGTCAAATAGATAGATGAGACGATGAGACACGACGGGAGTGTATTGATTTGATCGATTTGTGTACGGTAGGTACCCCGTTTGCTGTGGCATAGTCCCTGCCGTTGAACAGAGGCGGTCTGAACAGTGGCGCCATGGGGTCGGGGATGTGGTTGGCCTCAGCTACCTTGTCCAGAAAACGGCGATACGTCCACACCTGCACCAACCACCAGAAGTCACAAGGACATAGACGTCTTTCTGTATGTTGGTGTGAAAGGTAAGGTAGCAGCACCACACCTGTTTGGGCGATTTCAGGAAGGATGGCAGCTTGAGACAGTCACGACGAGCCATCCGCTTGGCCTAACACACGCAGCACAACACACAAAGGCCATCCTCTTGGGCACTACACGCCCGCATCTTTGCCTCCATTGCCCTACCCTGGGCAGGTCGTTGAGGTCCAGCTGCCCCGAGTAGAGGAGGGGGAAGTCGATCTCATGGCGGTGCATCAGCAACTGCACAGCACCATTCAAGTACGTCTACACAAACACACAAACACACAAACACACGAACACATACGCGGCCAGTGAGCTGAGACACAATCTCCGAGCACACCGCGTTTGTACCTGGTCGAGGTCGAATGATCCTGCCTGTGCGGTGTCGATCAGGCCCCTCTTCACTCTGACGAGTGAGACAAAAAGGATGCAAGTATTCTTGTCCTGCCATCAGGTCCTCTGAAAGGCAGGCACCTGATGCACAATCGGAATCGTTTCTGCGGATCCTCCAGGTACTTTTCAAGGTCATGAAACAACTCAGCGAAACCCAACTCAGTAGCCTTTGGACAGCATAGACAGGGATACGGAAGCTTCCCATGCATGGCTTCATTGTGTCTCTCCCTGTGACCTTGGCTGTGGCGTAGTATCTCAGTGCTGGCGACCAGAGCAGCAGAATGGGCAGAGACAGTAGCGAGTTGAGAGCCGCCAGGCCCTCCTCGGTCGTCAAATGGTTCCTCAGGTCATACCTGCACATCAGTCCACCACACAGCCATCTCTACTCCCGCCCTCAATCCTCGATATCTGTCTGTGTTACCACTCACACTCACTTGTGTCGATTTCGGTGCCAGCACTGCCTCTCCTCGTTCATCATTCGCAGCAGGTGCGTGCCGATCTCGTGGTCGCACACGGGCAGCACCATCCCTTTGGCCAGGGGGGCGTTCTGCAGGTAGAGGATGAAAGGGTCCTCTGGCGACGCCTTGAAGATATTGGCGACGGACAGCAGACTCTTGGCCAACACCACCTTGACCCTCGTCTTCAACGCTGGATTAACGCACACAACAGGGAGAGATGGAGGTCACCTGGTGTGTGTGTGTCTTTGTCTCTATGCGGTTACCTAGGGCGGCGATGTACTGGATGACCTGCTCCCGCATCTGTTCAGGCTTGGCCTGCTCCTCGCCATACAATGCGGACAAATACGCCCTCGTGTTGCCATAGGTGCCCTGGCAAAGACACACAAGACACACGTCATACACAGACAGTCTTCTCTATTTATCCTCTTCGCCTCCCCAAATTTCAACCACACCCACTTTGACTTGGTCCAGAATCCTCACGGCGATGTCGTACAGGAAAGGGTCGACACTCTTGACGCGGTGCTTCTGGAAATCCCGCCCCACAGCCTTCGTCGACCTGGCATACTCGAGTGTGGGCGAGTTGACGCACCCCCCGTCGAAGAACGCACTCATCGCACCAGCAATGTTGGTCGGCGTCACACGCAGGATGAGGCTCTTGCGGTTCCTGCGCTGACCTCCCTTGGACGGCACGCGGGAGTCCGAAGACGAGATCTTGGACAGGCGGTCGCTCCTCTGCTCCTCTGAATGAGAGGTGCCCTTTCGGGATGGCACGTTGGCCAGAGCAGAAGCATGCGCCGCGGCGGCAGCTGTGAGGGGCCGGTGGAGCAGCGCATCAGAGGCCGCACGAGCCAGGGCCTCGTTCGTCTTGGCGTCGGCCTTTGCAGAATGGGCTCCCTCTTGCTCGGCTTGTTCCTGTTCATCTTCGATGAGGAGGATGGGTATGGGCTCGTCGAGGGGAACGGGGGTATCGTCGAGGTCAAACGGAGGCGCCAAGGGGAGGGTCGCCACTTCGGGGCTGGCTGCACTCGTTGCGAAGTCACCCTCCATCCTGTTCAGCGGGCTTGCGTGAAAGGTCGCAGAATAGCCTCGGATGTTTCGTCTGTGGACGACGCGATGGCGGGGCCCCGATCTTCCTACTACAGCAAGCGCAAACGGCCCCCTCAGCCCCCATGTCGATCGGAGACTGCCGGTGGAAAACTTGAAGGCGCTTCTTTGCTTGGCAGCTGCTGATGGCTACTACGGGTGCGGCAGGGGCTGCTGCGCAGGGTGGTCCTGGGCGCAGGAGCAAGATTCGTGGCAAGGCTCGGATAGACCTCAAGGAAGAGCAGAAAGCAGGTAAAAGGGAGACGTCATGGCATGCAGGGTCGGGATGGGACAGCCGAAGGGTGGCATGCGTGCGTATGTATCTGCAGAGATAAAGGAGGCCTTTGATCTTTTCGATACCGACGGCACGGGTACTGTACTGCACGCACATACACTGCTTTCTTCTTCGCTGCATGCCATGCACCCCCCGCCTCTCCTTTTGCATGTTGGCATCAGGCACCATTGACGCCAAGGAGCTGAAAGTTGCCCTCCGCGCACTGGGGTTCGAGCCCAGGAAAGAAGAGCTCAAGAAGCTCGTTGGAGATCTCGAGAAGGGCGGTCACGGGGCGACGGCCCCGGGAGTGCCGCCTGCTGGTGCAGGCGGGCAGGGCCAGTCACAGCAGCTGCTCGACTTCAACGGCTTCCTTGCTGTCATGACGCAGAAAATGGTAAGGGGTGACACACAGCCAGGCCAGGCGGGGAGGCCGGTGTCCATCTCTCTCTGTCTGTCTGTCTGTCTGTCTGTGTGTATCGTGCCGGTTGTGGTGCACGCAGAGCGAGAAGGACAGCCGTGAGCAGGTCCAGAAGGCGTACAGGTTGTTTGCGGGTGCCTCGGGTCAGATTGCCTTTGAGGACCTGAAGAGGGTGGCGCAGGAGCTGGGCGAGACCATGTCCGATGAAGAGGTCAGCGTGAGCGAGCCAAAGAGACACCGAAGAGAGGCAGGGGTACATGGTGCATCTGTGTGTGTGTGTTCAGCTACGCGAGATGATTCGTGAGGCTGACAAGGACGAGGACGGCATGGTTAGCGAGGATGAGTTCCTGCGCATTCTGAAGCGAGCTGGCTAAAGAACATACACATGTCACTGATGGATGGACAGATCTGCGCGGCATAGCTATGGGTGGACGTGTGTTGTGTGTGGACGGGTGATCGATGCCCCGCTCACGTGCGTCTCCATAAGTGATTGTATGTGGGCTCTCTGAGCGGCATCCACTCGCCCCTTTTGTCAATCCATCCATATGCACGCAGACGTGTAGTAAGAGTCTCATTCACTCGCCATCGACACAGCCTCTGGTCATCCACCCACCCGCCCACATCGTGTCACTTCCTGGCCACTAAGCCGAACGCTCTCGGCACTTTTCTGATTGACCAGAACCCCTGCTGACTCAGACGCTCCATCACACCCCTGTACACACATCAACAGGACAACAACACAGCAACAGCACTTGTGACAGACCGATACCCATGCACACACAGGATGATATGATCGACATTCTCACTTGTAGAGGGAGGGCCCTTCCCTCCCGTCAGGGTTGCCCAGGTAGTGAAACAGCCGCCCACCCCGCCGCAGCACGCGATAAAGCTCGCTGTAGAAGACCTCGCCGAACAGATCGCCTTCCTTGCAGAGGGCGCGGGCAGGTGGGTCGTGGATCACCACCGAAAACGACTCTGTTGGAAGGGACAGAAATGCACCAATTGATAGATGAGAGCACTGCCAATTGTCGTACCGTCGGGCAGTTCGGTGATGAGTTCGCTGGCATCGCCTCTGAGCATGGTGATTTTGTCGCTCGTCAGGAGCTCCCGGGACCAGGGGTTGCGCCTGAGCACACGACAGAGGCATTGCATTCCATCCGCACCTTTCCCTTGTGAATCTCTGTCCCTCTCACACCTGCACATGTCGAGGGACACTTCATCAAGCTCGATGGTCAGCACTGCAGGCGCCCCCTCCTCCCTGCTGGCGGCAATGGCTGTGTAGCCAAGCCCCGTGCAGATGTCTAGCACTCGGCCCATCACGCCCCCAGGCCCCAGGCTCTCCAGCTTCCTCATTGTGTCCTTCCACGGCTCCATCGACCCATCGTCACTCGGGCGAGTCCTGCCTCTCGTCCGTCGCTTCTGCCTGTCCTCTCGGTCTTTTCGCCGCTTGCGGTCGCGTGCTGTGGCGAGGGGGTCATCTGCAGGCGATGACCGGCGCTTTGATGCTGGCGATGCCGATGAATCGCTGACGACTCGGTGCATGGCAAAGCCGGCAAGGAGCATCGTCGGAGCACCTGCAGCCAGTGAACGAGGAATAAGGAGTGATGCATTGGGTCTCCTGTGCGGTGTTCGTTAGTTGGGTAGTAAGTACCATTGTCGGTGAGCGGCGGGATCAGCGCCGCCTGCCGCCCGGTCGACTCGCTGATGCTCGCCACTCTCTGAGGTTTGTGCTCCCCGTCGCCGACAAGCTCGTAGCACCCGCCCCTCCCCTTCCGGCCCCTATCCACAATGTCACCCAGCTCCTGAACGAATGGATGGGCGGATGCACACACATACGCACAGGTAGGAAGCTTTTCCTTCCAACTGCTGCTGGGTACCTCCCAGGACGCAAGGATGCGATCAGGGTGGTCCAGCAGCGCGACGCCTTCCTCGCTCAGCAGCAGCCTCATCTCCCGCAGACCCAGATCCACGGTGACGGACACCTCTGAAGGCCCATCCAACGAGTGATAGCTATCCACAATGCTCTCAGCCTCACGATGGCTAACCACCGCCACAATGCCGTCATCAACATTCCTCCGCAGCAAAGCCTCTCGGTCAACCACCTCGCCGAACTCATAGCTTTCGGGCAAGGCAGGCAAACGGCCCGGCTCTCTGTCCACGTCTTGTTGCCCTTCATCAGCACCCGCACCTAGCCGCTCCCTCTCCCTGTGGCTGAGCACGTCGTTGAGAAGATCTGCCACCGTCACTGCTGAAAGCCTCGACCGGCGCGCCACCCTTCTTCTGGTAGACAAGTGGGCAGGGTGCGGCGGCCACGAGAATGCAGCAGACGGGGATGACAGGGGATGGACGCCAGCAGAAAGTGGCGAGGCCGCGAGACAAGCGCCCATTGATGAATCCTGCAGCAGCGGTTTCAGGGAGCACCCTAGGCGAACGCTGAACCCTGTGCAAAACCCGGTTCCGTCGCCTGTTTGACGAGTTTTCCCTTTGTGATAGCTAATTGACGATGTACGGCGGTCCTCCCCCTCCCAGTGTGCCCCCTGGTGTGCCTCCCTACCCCGGAGCCATGCCGCCCGGTGCCGTGCCCTACGGTTTCCCACCTGGCGCCATGCCCGGCCCTCCTGGAGCCATGCCGCCCGGTGCTGCCCCTCCTTTCGGCGCCCCTGGTGCCCCTGGTGCCCCTGGGTACCCTGGTGGCCTGCCCGCGAAGGAGGGCTCGGTCTTCAGACCCACTCCACACCAGCTGGGGCAGAGCTACAAGGAGGGAGACCGCATCGTGCAGGTGGGCATGAGTTCGGGCAGAGGGGAGGGAGAGAGGGGCGCTGGGGGGGCGGAACCAGAGAGAGGAAAGACACTGGGGAGGGCGAAAGACCGTCATCTGATGTGTGTGTTGTGGTCTCTCTGTGGCTGTGTGTTGTGTTGTGTGTTGTGTGGTTCAGCAACGTATTGTTGGTGAGGTGTTGCGTCCGGTGCCTGTGGTGACGGAGGTTGAGGTGCCGCAGGTGACGTACCAGGTCAAGGAGCAGCCCGTGAGCCACATGATTGTCCACGAGAAGGTAGTGCCCGTGCCCAAGATCGAGCTGCAGGAGCGCGTCAAGCACGTGCCCAAGTACATGACCGAGGAACGACTCATCGAAGTCCCCCAGTACAAGGTGAGGTGGCCAGCCGCACCCCGCCAACACACACCCACACACAACACGCACGCACCCACAAATGTGTGTGTGTGTGTGTGTTGGTGGTGTGGTATAGTATGAGGAGAAGTTGATAGAGCAGGTGGAGGAGGTGACGCAGGAGAACGTCGTGTACGTGCCCAAGCCCGTGGTGGAGGAGCGCGAGGTGCACGTCCCCAAGCCCGTCTACGAACACAAACTCGTCGAAGTCCCACACTACGCTCTGCAAATGGTATGTGTGGTACCCATCGTCCGCACCCACACATCACACCCTACAGACACCAACACAACACACCCATATTCGCCTTTCTGTGTGTCTGTGTGTGTGTGTGGTTGTGTGGTGTGTAGGTTCCGTACGAGAAGCGCATCGAGGTGCCTCAGGTGTACACGCAGGTGCTGACCAAGAAGGTGGACGTGCCCTACCGAGTCGAACGCCAGGTCCCCGTCGAAAAACTGGTCGAGGTGCCCCAACTCGCCGTAAGCAAGCACACACACACAGAGAGAGAAGGAGAGAGAGAGAGAGAGAGGAAGGTGTGTTACGTGATGCACCCAGCCATGCACGTGTGTATGTGTGTTTTGTGTGTTTTGTGTGTTCTGTGTGTTCTGGTGCGCTGTGTGTGGGGGGCTGGTTAGGTGAGCATCACTGAGCGTCAGGTGCCGGTGCCTCAGTACAAGGAGATGGAGAAGACCATCGAGGTGCCCAAACACGTCTACCGAGACAAACCTGTCGAGAAAATCGTCGAAAGGTACACACAACAGCACAGCACAGCACACTCACAGTGAGACCATCAATCTGCACACGTGTGTGTGTGTGTGTTTGCTGGGATGGCCTGGTTTGTCAGGGAGGTGCCGGTGCCGCATGAGGTCAAGGTGCAGAAGGAGGTGGACGTAGCCGATCCCATTCACACGTACGCAGCAGCGCACCACACACCAAACACAAGCACAGACAGGCACGCAGCAGACAGAGAAGTGTGTGGTGGTTGTGGTTGTGTGATCAATATTGATTGCAGTCAGTACGAGCAGCAGATGAAGGCCGCCGAGTTCAGATATTTCATAGACTACGCACAGATCCCCTCCGTCGTGGTAACCCACCGCACCCAAACACACCCTCCCTCCCTCCCTCCCTCCATCCATGAATGTCTGTGTCTGTCATGACTGTGTGCAGGGTCCTCAGGGGGAGATCGGCCAGGTGTACTACCACCACGTGCCGCAGCTGCAGCTGGGCTACACGGTCCGCGGGGAGCTCGCCACCACCGGCCCCAGCCACCTCTTCTACCCCTCGCAAGCACAGGCCGTCATCCCGCCCGGAGGGGGCGCACCCGTGGTCATGCCATCAGGCCCGCTCCCTGGCGTGACGATGGGCGGCGTGCCTGCCGTGCCGCCGCAGATGGTGGGCGCGGTGCAGGGCATGTACCCGTTGGGCGGCCCGTACGTGCCGTCTCCCGGGGCACCCATGGCGCCGTATGGCCTGCCGGGCCAGCAGCAGGGCGCGGAGGGCGCCGCTGGACCCGCACCTGTCATGTGAGTAACCACACATACACATACACATACACATACTACTGGCTTGGTGACGTACCTCCATTGATTGCATGGCGTTGCATTCACACATGGATGGATGGATGAATGGATGGATGTCGTGGATTGTGGTCTGGTGTGATTTCATATTTATGGCCTGCTTGCGTACGTGACGTGCGTGTGGTGATAGCCATAGCTCATAGCTCATAGGACAAGTCAGTCAGATCACACAGAGACGCCTATCCACCTCTTGCAGACACCCAACACACCCCAACACAACACAATCGGCACACGCCCACACATACGCAGAGAAATGACACAAAGGGCCGAAGAGAGAGAGAGAGAGAGAGGGATGTGTGCAAACCAACACACACACCGATCCGTCCGTCTGCATACGTGACGTGGCTCTCCTGTGCCCGCCTGTTCGTTAAGTGAGTGAGATGACCCACCCACCACCCAACCAACGCCACTCTCTTCGCCTGGCTGTCCGCCTTGTCAGTCAACGTCTTGCGTGTGGATTGATTCGACTGATTTGGGTTGCTGATGATATGATGGCCTGGCCGCTTCGTGCAGTGATGTCTGCATTGATTGCATTTGTCGGTGGTGTGGACGTGCAGGTAGGTCGTGCATGTCATGATTGATCCCTACCTATCCTATGCCCCGTCCTATCCTATCCTATTGTCTTGCATACGTAAAGACATACGTATACCTAAATATGTACATCTATACATCTATCTATCTAAGCTATGCTGATCAGCCTTTGCTGCTTTCCTATCCCGCCACACCCCACCCACCCATTCCACCCATACACCATCGCTGATATTTTTGCTGGATGGATGGATGGATTCGCTCGCTCGCATGCTTGTTTGCTCGTTCGGTAGCCAAAACGGCACGCCTCGTTGTAAGCCACCAATCCCACCAACACACACAACACCCACAGCACACACAGCAGTTTTGTCTAGCTACCACTTTCGCCCGCCTCTCTGCCCCTCCCCCTTGCCGTCCTCTCTCCCTCTCTATGTCCTCTCTCACTCATGTATGCCCCAACGACCAACCAGCATGACAACGTTCTGGGCTGCACAGAGACAAGAGAGCGAGACAGAGAGAGAGGGGGGGTTGGGAGGGGTGGGGTGAGGGACGATCCAACACATCAATCACATCACATTACACGAGCACACGGATGTGCATGGGTGGAGAGGTAGCACGGGCTTGGTGTTGGTGGCTGTTGGGTGGATGGATGCCATGGTTGGGTGGTTGGAAGAGACACCGATTACGTTTGCCTTGCGCATGAACCGCTGATCATAGACAGCTCATGTAAATGACCAACCAATCGATTGGTGCCATCGGAAGAATTACTGCTTTGGTCACACATCCGCACCATACAGACGTGCACACAGTGCCACACACTCGCCATGTACAACGTCGCCACGCCCAGCCAGCAACCCCACTCACTTCTACTCGTATGTATGGGTGTGTACGCGTGTGGTGTCCTACCTACCTACCTACATTGCTGTCTGCGCGACAGAAATCACAACTAGCGCAAAATCCACCCAAGCCAAAAAGTGCAGACAAACGAGACACTCACGTGCATCCACAGCGAAGCGCAGAACTGTCACGCCACGCCACACGCACATGCCTCGGCACCAATCCAGTAATTAATATGCACATCGCGCAAACTCTCTCCCTCCCCCTCCTTATTTGTCGCATGTCTTGATCGCGGCCATGACGGCCCTCCTCTGCCCACGATACACACGGTGGTGGCCCTCGGCCTGGAGCTCACACCGCTGTGTGTCCCACTCGTAGCTCACAGCCCGACACCTGCCCCGGGCCGCACAGGCAGCCGCACACTGTGTGGGGGAGGGGGCGAGGATGGACGCCATAGGTGCTCCCAGCACCTCGTAATGCCGCTCGAACGCAAAACAATCCAACACTGAGAGAGAGAGGCATACATGTGCTATGGTGGACGGGTGTGTCTCTCTGTTGGCAGCTTACCTCTGTCGTGCTCGCACTGCTTGAACCCCGAGACCTTGCCTTTGTTCGGTTCATATTGCCGTGAGAGCGGCTCCCGCATCAGCACACACCGTCTGTCTTGCCCATGGAATGTGAATGCGCTGCAGCCGGCGTGTGTGTCGCAGAGCTGCCAGCAGGAGTAGGGGGACGTCACGTCGCGCCGGTCGGCCAGGGGGGAGGGGGAGAGAGCCGACTGGGAGGTGTAGGCGTAGTCGGCCTCAAACACCACACACTCTGCAGCCATCCATCCATCCATCCATGTGTGAGGGAAGATCCATTGGAAGGGAAGGGAGCTTACTTGGTGCTTGTTTGGTGCATTTGTTGATGCCCGCGACTTTGCCTTTGCTGACTTTGCGGCTCTCCAGGCCGTGCTTGAGCACACAGGAAACCTTCCCCTCCTCGCCCTTGCCTCCATCGAACACGAACCCCGCGCACTCGGCGTCCCTCTGGCAGTGCTGCCAGCACCCCTCTGGAGTGGGCGGCTCAATCGACTCGATCGTCCGCAGCTCGTTGGATGGGTACTCCACATCTCGCTCATACTCCACACACACTGATTTCAAAGAAAGTAGGTGAAATGAAACAGGTCCCATTCTTTCTCTGTGTGGTCGCAAGTGTTCTCACCTGAGCAGACGGGATCGAATGGGTCTGTAGGCGCCTTCTGGAACACCCGCGCCGAACGAATGTCCCAATACGCGTCTCGCAGCGCCGTGCCGTTCTTGCGCACGTGGTCCTCGCACCTCCCCAGCCCAGGACAGGCCCACTCGAACGCCGCATTCCCCCCTCTCCTATCCCCACACAGCCCCGTCCTGAGCACCACCTGCATCTGCCTGAAGTTGTCCCATCCCGGGCACGTGTCCGTCTGCAGGGACACCAGGCCGTGCGGGCGCTTCCATGCGTCTGGTGTCGGTGTGGGGTGGTCGTTGAGCAGGTCTTGGGGCGCCTCGGACGAGCGGAAGAACCAGTACTTGATGTGTCGGTCTGAGTCTAGCTCCACGACGAAGTAGCCGCCTTCTGAGGGCTGGGAGGGGCCGAGGAAGGGCTCTTCTGGGAGGAGGGTGCACGCCTGGCTGGGGTACTGCAGCTCATCGATGGAGGAACAGTGCCGCGATGGTTGACCTGACGATATCATAAGCACGGGATGATTGATGCACATGGGTGTGGTGTGGTGTGTGTGGCTGGGCGTGGCGTGCATACGTATGTTGTCGAGCAGGAGTCTGGATGCCTCCCAGTGCCCACTGGTGAGCGACTGGTCCGCCCCCGCCTGCACACAGGGGGACGACGCGCCCACACTGACGCTGAAGTGGTTCCGAGCGCCATTGTGGATGCCTGCACACCACACCACACCACATATTGCGCAATAGCAGGTATCGTGGCGGTGGGTGGTGGTCGTGCCTTCGATGAGGTTGATCTGTGCGTCCTTGTCCATGTGAGGCCCCTGGAGGGAAAGCGACGGCCATACGCCACAGCCGAAAGGCACGTGCGCAATATGGAAGACAAACAGCCCCTGCACACATCCATCCAATCAAAATCAACCCTCCTCAGCACATGAGACAAGAACCATGCCTTTCTTGGCGCCCCCTCACCGACCGCATCAAATGCGTCCAGCGACCTCAGGCTGACGGTCTTCCGCCCCTCATCTTTGCCGACCTCTCCCTCTCCCTCTGCCGTGTCCACCCGCACAATGACGTCTCCATCCTTGGTCACCTCCACCATCCCGCCGTCCACCGCCTCCTGTCGGCCAACAAACCTCGCCGGCCCTTCAGATGATGTTGCTGTCGCTGTCGCTGTCGCTGGTGTTGATGAGGACGCAAAGTGGAAAGCCGACAGCATTGAGTCGCCCTGCCACGTGTGTGTAAGGGCGTAGGGTGAGGCGCACTGGGACGGAGGAGAGGGCCCCCGCGCCACACCGGCATAGCACGGGGGCTTGCCCTTGACGGCGCAGTCCTCCGCCATTCGCCCGGCAGCTGCGCAGCACTCACTCCTCCCCTTTGCACACGTCTCTCCCCCACACTCGCCGCAGTCGGCCGGGCAGCACGCGCCGCTCACGTGCCGCCCGGCCTTGAGGCGCCCCTCGATGCCACCGTCTCGTCTTGGCATGTCCGCGTGGGTCTTGATGTCCCATTGGTGTGGTGATGCGACTGGGCTGTGTGGGCCGGCGTAGGTGCCGCCTATGCGGTGGCAGAAGTCTTGGGGCGACTCCAGGCAGTATTTCGGGCCGGAAATGGACTTGGACGAAATGGAATCGGTCTCACGGGTGCGGCCGGAGCCGCCACGTTTCAGGAAGCACCTGAATGGATGGACACGGAGAGTGAACAGGGTAGCGGGGGAGTGTCTGTTGTGTAGTGTAGGTCACCAGTTGTTGTGTGGTTGATATGTGAAGAATCGGCACTCGGGGTGGTCCTGACACTGGTACTGACACTCCACAGGCCCCACCACATCCTGATAGGCCTCCAGATCATTCCCGTAGTAATCCACACCCTCCTCAAAACATTCTGATCGACACCGGCACATTGCCTCTGTCTCCGTTGTGGCTGGTGGCCATCCTACCTTTCTCGCACGACTTGGGCCCAGAGAGGATGTGTGCGGCGGTCTCGCGGCTTTCAAGGTCGGTCTTGAGGACACACGTGAGGCTGGCTTCCTCATAGGTAAAGGCGATGCACTCTGCCGTCTCACCACAGTGCTTCTGGCACTCACGCACAGTGCGCGCCTTCAGGGTCGTGTTGGATACAGACGGCCCCAGCAGCCTGGTGTTGGCTTCATAGCAACCTGAGAGACGCAAATTGTGCGCAGGCATATGCGTCTTTGTTTGGCTGATCTGCTCACTTGGTGGGGGTAGCTTGGTCAGCAGTGTGGGGCAGAAGATCTCCCCTTGTGTTGTGGGGTTCTTCACTGCGAACGCCCGCAGCCCCACCACGCTCGCCTCCTCCCGCACGGCCGCAAACCCCACGCGCAGCCCCTCCTTGCCGACCGCGACGCACCTCTGCAACACAATCGGCTTCTGCCGCCCCCCTCCCAGCTCATACACATCCACTCGCCGCGCCCAGACCTTCCCATTGACCAAAATGTCGAAGAGACGAGACCCTTTGGTGCTAAATGTGAGCTCGGATAAGACGATTTGCAGGCAGACATCGCCCTTGTGGTGCTCCGAGGGGAAGAGTGCGGCCGCGGGGATGGTGTAGCCGCTGCTGGTGGACAGATCGGATGTGTCGAAGGTGTGGGTGGTGAGGAGGAGGGGGTTGCTCGAGAGGGTCTCCAAAGTGACCTGCGTGCCGCCGTCGGCATAGGTGTCCTGCTGGTAGACGATGCCGTCGTGGGCGACGGAGGGGCCGCCTGCATTGATGTAGACGCCCTCGGATGGAGGGGGAGGGATGAACGGCTCTGAACACGTTCGAACAAATAGACGTACGAGAGATCGACATAGCATCCCAAGGTGGACCATTGTGCGTTTATACCTGTGACACACGGCGCTTCCCCTTTGTCCAGACAGCCCTCATTCTTCTCCAGTACCGCCCTGCCGCAGCACTCGTCCTTTCCTCCCGGCCGCCCGTCGCACCCAAACCCGCCACACAAACCGCACCCCTTGCCACAGCACACGTCGCTCCCCTCCCCCTCCCACACCCCACCCACATACGCACACACCGACTCCTGGTAGCTCTCAGAACCGATCAGCGCACCCTTCTCACGGGGCGGCGCGAGGATACACGGCGGCTCGTTGGTCTCGTCGCATTTGAGCCCGAGTGTCTCGACCTGTAGGGGACAGCAGTGGAATGGGCCTGACGGGAGGAGGTGACAGAAGGGCCCGCCGCACTGGCCGCATGACTCGGGGCAGCACGTGTTGGTGACGGGGTCGAGGAGGCCGCCCAGCTCCTCGCACGACACGTGGGGCGTGACCTCTTCGGTGTCCTCAGCATCGGTTGTGGAGGCGTCTTCTGCGTCTGACCAGGGACCTGCACACAGAGACCATCCCCATATGGTGCGCCCAGAACAAGGAGAGGGCGTGTGCGGCGTACCATTCTGCCTCCATGGGCTGACATCTCGCAGCAGTGACTGCTTAGTGGCGTTGGGAGCGAGGAACTCGTCATCACTGCGGTCCAGTGTATCCTCTGACAGGGGCTCGGGGTCGCCAACCGGAGCTCGCCAAGACTGGGCGGATACAACCACTGCACAGAAGGACAGATGCTCTGGTATGGCTCGGGCCTCAGCTTCGTGTGGCTGGCTCACCTATCAAGGCTGGGAGGGCTGCAAGGATCAGGAGCCAGCCGTGTTGTGGTGCGCTCTGCCGATGCCGCCGCCTGGGCTCTCTGATGACCATCAGAGGGACGATTCGTGTTTTGCTCCTTCGTTCTCTGCTGGTCGTCTGATCAAAACAGAATCCGGCCTCTTCAGGCCTTCTGATCGGCTCCTGGCCTCGCGAGCGGCTCCTGCCTTGTCGGCTCGTGCGGGAAAGGGCGGTCGTCGGGGCAGCCCTCCATGCCTCCCGTGGTGCTGCCGAGCCGCGGGATCGCCAAAAGTGTCGGCAATAGATGCTCGAATGTACTTTCATTTCGAACGTGGACACAGACTATTGCTCGTGAGGCGTGAAGACAAATGAAAAGAAATGCACAGCGTCCACGATGCGTCTTTGAGTCGATGAGAAACGATGAGGTGTGGATACCCCTCCCACCAGCTGGCACAGACCGCTGGCAGGCACTTGAAGAGTGAACAAACAGGGGACGCGGAAAGGACGACCGACAATCCATGCCACGGGCCCATCAATGAATCATGGTCTCATGATCAAGTAGCTGGGTCACTGCCTCACTGGTGGCGGGGGAAAAGTGAGTTGCTAACAAACAGGGGACGCGGAAAGGACGACGACAATCCATGCCACGGGCCCATCAATGAATCATGGTCTCATGATCAAGAAGCTGGGTCACTGCCTCACTGGTGGCGGGGGAAAAGTGAGTTGCTAATGAAAGACAGGTCGTGAAGAGTGAAAACAAACTCACGTAGGTGAGAGTGGACAGCAGTGAGGCAGTCAGTCTGCACCCAACACCCAATATCGCTCACGACACACAGTTGCATGGACGAGGCGCGACACAACATACAGACAGCTGCCTACACTACATTCCCGTCCCGTTGGATGCAGCGGAGCCAAAAATGTTCGCACCCCAGTACCTAGACTGCTGGATAAACACACACAGCCAGAAGAATGCCGGTCGAAAAAGACGTCAGGTGAGGACTATCCTCACGGCAGGCAGGCAGCTACCGACATAAAACTGAGTGACACAAACGACATCGAACACACAGCACAGGAACGACGACAGCGACCATCACACATGCACATGTCGACAGGTCAGCTCAAAAAGACACACGACAGCTGGACAAAAAAGACGGGCCACTTATCTTTTCCTCATAGTTCACATCGCCTCTGTCTTGGCTGCCTGAGTCAGCTGTTCGAGTGTGGGTGGCTGGGGCACATTGGGGAGGTCATTCAGCAGATGATGGCCGGTCAGAATGTCCAGCGGCGTGTAGCCCAGCACGTGAGTCGCCGTCACCATCGCAGACGCCACAGCGGCTGAAACGCACACACGCCCATTGGTCATGCCGGCTGCATTTATGGGGGATCTGCTCACCTATGAATCCGCCCGATACCAGGTCTTCGCCTGTCAGGTAGAATTTGCGGATGGCCGTGCCGACGCGAGGCAGGGTGTGGGTGAAGCGCTCGGGAGTCTGGCGGAGGCCGTAGCTTGCGAATCTCTTGAGGTAGTGGTACATCGACAATGGAGTGGAGACGTCGAAACTCGTGATTCGACCTGCAAGCACACAAGATACACAGGCGCACCTTAGACACCTGCAGGGACCCTCAGGTATATCTATGGCCGACCTTCCAGCTGCGGGAAGTGTTTGAGCAGCAGGTTTTTGAGTTTGGTCTCCAGCTGCTTCTTGGTATTTTTGTAGGCCTTGGTGCGCCTCTCCGTGTGAGCCCCTCCCAGCGCTGTCAAACCACACACAGGAGGCAGAGACGGCCAATCAGATCGCAGTCCCTGCCGATCCATCCCCTGACAGTGACCCACCTTCATTGAGCTGCTCGTATGCCTCTGGTGCTGCCTCCGCCGCGATGAAGCAGGAAGTGGTGTCGGGGTGCAGATGCGTGTAGGCAGGGTCACGCGCAGACAGGAAGGCTGCACAAGCCAGCCAACCAAACAAGAGAGAGGCCATTTGCGTCAATTGAAGCACATGGGATTAGGTGCATCGCGCGCACAAATGAAGCAAAAGCCGTCTTCGACTGAGAAGTCTAGCAGGTTGTTGCGGTACTTCATGATGATCTCGTCCATGTCATGACCCTGATTGATATTAACAGACACGACACACCATGAGAACACGTTAGCGTCTTCTGCGCCTAGCTGACCTCAGTTGCCTCCTCAGGGAACCCCCACAAGTTGCTGGAGGGCAGTTTGAGCTCCTCGGCGGTGCCATTAATGCCAACAAACCCACACACACACGACACCCCCCCGCCGACCTGGCGGAGGAACTTCATCTCAGCCGCCATATAGCGCTCCACGTCAGCAGGCGACAGCAGGTGATGCTGCGAAGCAAGCGAAAAAGGAGACCATGAGCAGGGATGCCGTGTATGTGGCGTATGGCAGCATCACCAGTGTCGCTGACAGCCCTGCAGCTGATATCACGCCCATGCGGCTCTTGATTGTGTCACCGTTGGCGAGAACAACACCAACAGCCTCGCCTGCATACACACACGGCACCACCAATTCCTCAGCACGGCTGCCTCGTGGCACGCATCTCATCTCATCCCTGCTCAAGTCACCGTTCTCCACGGGGATCCTCTCGACATGCGCCCTCACGAACACCCGACCGCCTGCCTTGTGGATGGTCGACGAGAGTGTCTTGACGATCGACATCGGGCCGCCGACAGGGAAGTAGCCTCCATTGATGAAATGGTGTACGACCCACGCGTGGAGGAGGAAGCACAAGTCGCGAGGCGCCTCGCCCGTGGTGCCGTGTTGGCCGCAGAGGATCTGCTCTTCGCGCGCAGAGAAACCAAGACTGGCGATGACCTTTACACAAGACACACAATGCGGGCGTGGATGGATGGATGGATGTGTGCTCACCTCGTGTGTTGTCTTGCCGGCCCACTTGAAGCCGTTGCGGCCCAGCAGAGCGCGCCAGATCCGCTGCACCGTTGGTGTCCATGCGCGGGAGACTAAGAACACCATTGTCTCTGCCGCAGCCTCCTTAACCGTCTTGATCCACTCCGACACGGCCCGCTCCTTGCCAGGGAAATGGCGACACAACTCCTTCTCGTACTCATCAGTGCCAGCACGCAACCTACCGCCCACATACACAGACGGCAGCAATGAGCCTCCCTGTGTGTGTTCATCTCATTAGCCTCTCTCCGGTCCCCTCCCGCCCTCTCTCTCACCTGACCAGCGGTTGGTCAGCAATCTTGATGACATCGTATGCGCCCTTGCCGGTGCCGTCTCTCTCATGCGTGTCTTCGTTCTCGTAGCCCATCTTGTGCCACGAGATGGGGTACTCGGGGTCGCCGGCAATGGCAATCATTTTGGCGGTCAGCCAGGTGTCGTCATCGGTAACAGTCCGCTCGCCGATGTAGTGGATGCCGGGCGAGAAGGTGGCACCTGACGAGTGACAAGGCGTCCAAGGTGGGCAC